TCCTTACCCTTTTAATTCCACTTTGGACTGCAAGATGTAAAGGGGTATTACCATCTTTATCGCAGCTCTCAATTAAGATCTGACTACTTGCATCCGTATAGGATGCTATAGAATAATAAAATAGATTTTAGAACTTGGCTAATGTATTACTGTTAGATTGTATCGCAACTTATGAAATATTTTAAGGGCAGAATTTGACCTATACAATATAATACTTATGCTAATGTACCTGTTTCCAGTAAGAGCTCCATGATTTCACTGTTGCCTTTATTAGCCGCCACATGCAATGGAGTACTGCCATCTAATGCAGTACTTGTAATGAGTGCACCACGTTGGAGCTAATAAATAGTATAACCATTTATTTTAAAAGATACATTTGCACTTCTGCAATCGTTATCGTGCTGCTTTTAAAGTAAATGAAATAATATTATACGTATAATACTCTTGCTAGTTCTGGTGATATTATTACCAGAAGTTTACAAATTTCTAGTTTCCCATGCAAGACAGCTTGATGCAACGGCGTTGTACCTTCATTATCAGTAATATCGATATCAAAAGGCTTACGTAGAATTTTTGCTGCGGAAAATATCGCCTAGAGCGGTTGCAAATATTAATAACATCTCGTAAATGTAACTCTGTAGTTTGCTTTATAAAATAATCATCAAAGAGGTATTCTATAAAATGACTGGCTAGCTTTATAAAATTAGCAATGATTTTATGACTTTAAGAATAAGCTCATTACTCTATAAAACTATTAGCTCAGTAAACTTGACCTAACATATGTATTGATCCAATGGAATCGTCTTGTGGATATTGCTTATAACTCTAAAATTATAAATCTTTAAGTACTGTACCTCCACTGTGTCTTTATTACTATATCGCACAGCCATATGAAGCGCTGTTGCCCCGGTTAAGGAATCAGGATACTCTAATTCTGCATCGCTTGACATTAACATACGAATTGCTTGCAAGCTTCCATATTTTGCAGCCAGGTGTAATGGTGTTAGATCCATGCAACCGCAGATATTGACATCTACGTAAAAAAAATCTTAAGTACTCAAGACGTTCATTTAGGGTTCCTATAATGCATGTTGTCTCTTAGATAAAAATAAAAACTTTGTGAACCATTGTATTTACTGCTTTTACACTTTTATAATCAATTTAAGCTAACTTTAAAGTATATCTTCATTACAAAAGTAACAATTAAGAGAAACTTCTACGACTCTATCAATCTGATGGAATTATTTAATCATATTGACGTTATCTTTAGTGTTAAATTTATCGTTAGGAATAGATTTCTATCTAAAAATTTAAACTGCAACGAGATTTATCAAAAACAGCTTAATAATGTACCTGCTCCAGCTTCAAGTAAGCAAGCTATAACATCAGAGTGGCCATTTTTGGCCGCGTAATGAAGTGGTGTCCAATCGAAATCATCCAACATGTCGACATCATATTCTTCATCAAATGCACCAGAATTTTTCAGTAAAGCTCGAACTGCTGTTACAATTCCATCTCTAGCTGCCTGTTGAATACATTAATTGAATAAAATTTCTCTGACTCTTGAAACTTAGAAGTAATAGTAACTCTCTTGATTATACGCGTATATTATTAGATTAGTTGCGATCGTGAGTTTATGTAACTTTATATCAAAAAAGCCCTACTGCATCAATGAATATACTTCTTAGAAACACCAAGATGTCTGTTAATCGTAATGAATGATTGTGAGTATTTTACCTGATGTAAACCATATGAAATATCTTTCTCTCTAATGGTTGGCGCTTGTGAAGTTTTGCTACGATAATTTTTTCGAAATACAGATGTATTTGTTCTTGCGCGATATCGTGGTGGTCGTTGCTTGTAGTAATCGTTTCGAGGGCCCAGTTGCCGGCTGTAGACATTGGTAATAGCGCTTCCACTAGAACCAAAATCGCTTCGAATTCTGCTATAAATCTTTTCTGACATATTGTTTTCTTTAATTCTTATTTATGACGGCAATAATCAGGATTAGTCTACTTCTATGTATAATTATATAACATCAAACAGCAATCTGGCTTTGGAAGTAATGCAGAAAAATCTTACATAACAATGACTAATCTTCTACCAAGTAATGATATCAATTCACTTCAATATACTCACGTATTATTCGTTGCAACCAAGAAGATATGTTAAACTGGAATCTGAATCATCATCGCTTGTCATAATATCATCAAATATGAAAATATCTGATTTACGGACACTATTAATCGTGTGCATTGATTGTCAGCCTTAAGTAAATAATATTGGATATACTGTAATCATTGGGTCATCAAATGAGCAGAATATACTTCATGTATTTTGATTGTTCTTTAACAATTAATAGCATATTCTAACTCTACGTGGTGTTTATTGCCATACACAAACATGAAATACTTACGGTACAATTTCAAGGATATTGACTTAATTTCCTCATTTTCAAAAAAATGTTCGAGTAAAGGATTCGTAACATTGTTTGATTAAATATTATGACAAGCTACCATACGTTTCTATTTCAACATTAGATGGTGTACGGAAAACCTTACACTACTACCTATATACGAATTAACAGAATTCCATTATGAAACCAATTACTTCCCATAAATATCTGCATGTTGCAGTAATAATCGAAATGCCATTGCAGCTACTTTAACTCTATTCCGTTTGATCTTATCCGGGCACGATAATTTACGAAAATTTTTTAAAGACTATGATAAGATTAATATTTAAAGTCAATTTTTGCGAGTTGAAATAGTAATTAGCCCTTTTACTTCGAATGACTAGAATTATAGCAGCTTATGTCTTTACATTAGGTTGACTAAAAGTATAAAAGAGAAGACAATATTCTGATATATTTTGCTGATCATCTTAAAATGGAAAGCATAATTTTGTTTACAATATCTATTACTTACTTTATAGTCATACTATGTGTATGCAATTCATAATCGATTAGCTAGTTCAGGATATCGCATGCGATCTACTGCGTTTCATCGCGTTAGATAGAATAAATTCACTGTACAGTACACTACTTTATAAAAATTCCTTATGCAGTATGTAATAAAAATTAGCAGTCTGAGCTCCATCATATGCTTCTAAGATCTAGCTGATTAATTATAGAATGATAATGGGTCCACTATTGTTCTGTTTTATTTATTAGAATAGATTTGAAATTAAAGCCATTAATCTTATAGCGCCATTCATTAGTTGGATGTTGCTGTTATCGATTGAATAAACAATAGGTTAAATACTTTAGATCAAGCCAATATTAAGAATATTGTAGAGATTTTATGTTGCATGGTAATTCACGGTGGCTATCATCCTATAAATGCCTATTAATTCGGTACCGATTTTACTATAAAGAGTTATAGAATGCACTTGCAACTAAACTCTATATAATTTAACTCGAAGACTCGTGTATATCCAATATGATCGACATTATAGTATAGTATATTAACCTTCAATGAGGTGCAATGATTTTATATTGTAATACTATCTATCCATACTTACTCATGCAACTATAAGAATAATATACAAATTGAGAATAGTTAATCAATGTTCGACTACATTTGCTCAAGATTATTTTCAACTTAAAAGATTTTTAAGGGTTTTTCAGCACTCTAAATTCTCCAGCTGTATTTGGAAAATATATGATAATGATTATTGCATCTTACGGCCGTACACTAACTTAGCTGAGAAGCTGATACTCTTTCAATGATAAGCCCTTTTAGCCAAATGTGCAGTGTAGTATCAATTGTATATAACATACATAACCTAAGTTCATTACAAATGTACAAACCATACCGAACTACTTTCACTCAAAGCTTACTCCTTGAAGAAATCTTGTCTTTCAGGATTCTCGATGATTAAAACATGTTTTGTAGTATTCCTACGTTCCTATAAATTCTGTAGTCCTCGGTACCATAAAATTCGGGTACGGTTATTGTATTAGCATCAATCTTAATTCTAATTAACTCATAAGCCAGAATCAGTAATCGCATTGATTATGCACAGGAGTTATGCAATTGAAAGCTTTATTTTATTTTATTTTAATCCTAACAAGTTTCTATTAGGGATTCACTTATGGACAAAATTGTCAACTACTCTAAATGGTAAAATAGCAATACATCTATAAATTAAAAATATGTATGACCTCCTTGTTTTCTAATCAGAAAACAACGCTTAGAGTACGAAGATAAAAGAATGAAATACTTATAGTAAAGTAAACTAAATGACTTAAATTATTCGTATTAAAAGTCAAATTATAAAGTTTTCTATGGCTGCCAAATAACTAAACGAAGGCATTGTCAACTACTGTATAGCACGAACCAGTAATTGGTCACATGTTATACGGTAAAGCAAAAAATAATGAAAGCATTAAGATAGTCAGAATTGATTTGTATACGAACAAACTACCCAATAACATGATAGAAATAATTCGTACGTGAAAGCAATATTTCATAATGTCCTATATGATAAAAATAATTAAAATTTATGATATAGCTTATTAAGAGGATTTGTTAATAAGATGAGGGGTAATATAATAATAATTATCGATTTATTAAATCGACATGAATTAAATGATAGGCTTATCAGGATAAGCTATCAGAGGTCATAGCATGATCTATAACTACATTCTAGCAACTTTATGTTTAGGGACATTTTTAAGCTTGCATTTCATTTTCTTCATCCATATTTCGATTTTTGCGCCCAGTTTCATGCAACTCTTGGTTTTCTTGTACAAAGCCAGGATTTTCTGCACCACACATTCCTGGTCCAATACGTTTACCACGTCCGCTCTTGCTAATAATAACTATAATAGCAATAATTAACAGTATACCAGCAACAGTTCCAACCGATATTCCAACAATGGCACCTGTAGGCATATCACCAGCCACATTACATGTAATTCCTCTATAGCCATTGATGCAGTTACATGTAGCCGTTCCATTAGCAACTTGGCATGTACCTCCATTTAAGCAGTTTAACATACAAGTACAGTTATTGGCAGATCCTCTGTAACCGGGTGCGCAACTACAAGTATATGAACCCTTGGTATTGACGCATCGATTATTGCTGGATGTACATGGCGAAGGGTTTCTAGCACATTCGTTAATATCGTTGCATGTATTGGATTGATTGATATACCCGGTGTTGCATTGGCATCTGTAGGATCCAGCTGTATTGACGCAGTTTGAATCAGCAGGACATTGTGCTGTTAAGCATTCATTGATATCTGTACATGTTGCTCCGGTATAGCCTACATGGCAAGTACAAGTAAAGGATCCTATGGTGTTAGCGCAGTTGGCATTGGTCGGGCATGGAGATCCAAGACATTCGTTAATGTCGGTACAACTTTCAAACTGTCCAGTATATCCAGTTTTACATTGACATCTGTACGAGCCAGCGGTATTGACACAATCTTGCAAGCTTGTACAATTATTGTCAGCCGGATTAGCGCATTCATTAAAGTCGACTACTACTGCTTGTTGTAATGTTGTATAGCCACCAATAGTTGAAGCCGCTGGTATAGCAGATTGTAACTGTGATGTAGATACACTACTAGTCGCAGCTATTAATATAATATAATCAGCTATAATGCTACCATTTTTAAATTCAGTAACTTGTACAGTCTTAAATGTACTGCTAGTATTAGCATTATTTGAGTAAATAGTATTAAGACTAGTTTCAACCTGTTGCTTCAAGGCTATAAACTGTGCTGAGCTATTGTTGGTTAAATCACTAGTAAATGTTCCATTAAGCCTAACATTGGCATTATAACGCTTAATGGCCTCGCAGGTCGTACCATTACCGAAAAATCCAAGCTTGCAAGAGCAAGTAAAAGAGCCTGGAGTATTTTTGCATGTTGCATCGCTTGAGCAAGAGTTGGCTTGAGAGCATTCGTCAATATCAGTACATTGTGCACCAGTATAACCAGGCCAACATTGACAAGAATGTGAACCAATGGAATTAGTACAGTTGGATGTAGCTGGGCATGAAGTGCTATTCAAACATTCATCAATATCTTCACAGTTGATTTTATCAGCTTTAAGCTTATACGTTGAATTACATTGGCAATGATAACTTCCAGGGGTATTAACACAAATTTGTTGGCATAATTGACCATTACCATTACATTCATTAAGATCGACACAAGTTTTATTGTCACTGCCTAAAGTATATCCTTGATCGCAATAGCAAGTATCTTTTCCGTTAACAACAGCACAACCAAAAGAGCAAGTATGATTGGCGCTGCAACTAATAGATCCATTACATGATTTTCCGTCAACATTCAATTGGAAACCTTGATTACAGGCACAGAAATAAGAACCTTGTGTATTAACACAAACTTGTTGGCAAGGTAATGTCTGGGTACATTCGTCAACATCGGTACAATTATGGTTATTGCTACCAAGTGTGAATCCGCTATAGCATGAACAGGTATAATTTCCTTCTGAATTGGTGCATACTTGGCTACAGCCTCCATTATTAGTAGCGCACTCATCAATATCAGTACAATTTCCATTGCTTAACATATAACCGGAGCTACAGACACATTGGTATGAGCCTGCTGTATTAACGCAGGTTGCTGATGAGCTACAATTAGCATCGCCATTCATGCATTCGTCAATATCCATGCAGGAATAAGTATCATTACGTAAGATATAACCACTGTTACATCCGCAAGTATAGCTTCCTTCATTATTGGTACAAGTTTGTTGGCATGAATTAGTACCATTAGTACATTCATCGATATCGTAGCATTTTTGTCCATCGCCAGTGTAACCTGCCGGGCAACCGTTGCAAACATAGCCAGATTGAGGTGCTGGATTATCAGTGCAAGTGACATTTGCAAAGCAAGGGCTATCAGCACATTCATTTAAATCTTCAGTGCAGTGATCACCAGTCCAAGCTGCGTCACAGGTACAAGAAATTTGTGTTATATCATTAACAACAACTGATTCAGCATTGTAATCGCATGTGCTGTTATTATCACAATAGCACATCGTTATTGATGGTGATAATTCACTACTGGCTCCTTTTGAATCAGTAGCTACAAATTTGATAGTGATGTTGTCATAAGTTGAAACTGTCCAGTTGAATACCATGGTCATATTATCAAAGTAAGCACCGGGTGGTGGATTGACTAAAACTACGGTAACATTATCACCAGCATTAGCATCAGAAACGTTTAGTTGAGTCATGAATACTTGGCCGTAAGTAACATTGTAAGAGTCCAAGCCAGATATTGTTGGTGGGAAATTTTCTAATTCAGTATTTCCTGTCTGATATTCATTAGAAGCATTCTTGCCACTTGTTGCAGCATTCAAATTCAAAGTCAATGCAGCATCATATAAGCACTGTGTATCATTGCCACATGCGTTGACGGATTGTTGGTAAAAGGCGGTGTTATTGCCAAACAATGCTGGGATATTCTCGGCAAAAATAGGAACAAAGCTAGGATCACTATAATTAGCTGCGGTTGTACCAGCTGGATAAGTGAAAAGTGAACTTCCACTATTTATTTGCCCTGTTAGATTGAAGTATTACGCATATTAAATTAGTAAGACAAATCTAATATCCAACGACGGTATACAGTAACATAGATTAATTTGTTACTCTTAATATATTGGCAAATAATTAATTACCGCACTAATACACAAATGGAACAATTGCTAAATGTAATTTTTACACGTTTCCCACATTTACGTAGCGTTATAATTTATAAACTTACAGAGTCGACCAAAATTATAAAAGATAGTAGATTCATTTGCATTGATGTCCAAATAAGTTCCATCTGGTCTCTTGAAATCATCAGTAATATTATCATTCCATGTACCCAATAAACCTTTAGTATTGCCTTTATAGGTATCTGGTGCACTAAAAGTAATAGCTAACATTTCTGTTAATAGTTGAACTTCGACGTTAATACCACTTGTAAATGCAATAACTAATTTGTTATCAATAGTTCGTGACAGTTCGACGTTGTTATACGATAGGGTATCATTTTCACCAATGGTACTGAAGGAGAATGAAGTACTATTATTATTGACATAAATATCAATTCCATCGCTATTGCTATTAAGGCTAGCTTCAACGGTATCGGAATCATTCTGTTTTGAGGCAAATGATGCAAAAACTGTTGCTAATGCAGATGCAGAGCCATTTTGTATAGCTCTCATGGTACGACCTTGTAATACGAAGAAGCCACCGTCGACATCCAATAAGGTGTATTCGCCATGGCCGTTAAAGCTGTACGTTTTTGTATCCAAGGTAGTAATATGAGGATCTCCCCACATAAGTGCTAGTTAAAATTAAAAGACATCATTATTATTATCTCGGTCTAGTTTCGGCGACATGATCGTGAGCGAGATGATATGCAATTTTTTTCATAAAAGCTGTCTAAGATCAGATACGAACTCAGAAGGAGTCACGAAATATTTAACACAAGCTAATGTGATCAAAATTTTACCTTTAAAATAACTACATACAGTAAGCTTAATGCATGACTGAACTAAACTAAACAAAAACTAGAATTATAGTGGTGAACTGTATAGTTGAATGAATCATTGTATAACATAGTACAGAAGTAATAAAATCAATATACACTTTGCAGATATCTTCTACTTATACAATACCTCTTCTTGGTGGTCTGTAGTTACGGCAGTTATCGAATGGCATCTTTTCGTAATAATAGCGACATAAACCCGATCTGAAACAGCAATCGCGACGCGCCTCTTCTTCGGCATTACGCCAAGTTCTATTCCTGAAAGTAAATGAAACCGCCAACGGTGGTTGTCTGATCAATGCCCCAAAGCCTGGTCTAAATCGCTGGTAGCAGCATTGCTGGCGAACCTATCAATATTTCATCATATTATAGTTATCTCTTGATTATATTATTAATTCTAATAAAGCTTACATGACCTCCTTGTCGATTTACTAAAGTAAACGTATAGTTTCAGTACTGATCAATAAATTATATAAGGGATGAATTTTGAAGTGCTATAGAGTAATTTCCATATACTATTTTGTGCAAGCATGGTACAAGTCCACGTCAACTTACTCTTTCACCATCTGATGCACGCCGGAAAAATGATCTTGCACAGTATGTTCTCCAATCAACACGGAATCGTCGGTCTCGTCGAGCTTGGAAGATAGTACATGGGCACGATAGACGTCGTAAAGCCATGAGATAATTTTCTGGTGATGGCTGATTATTAAACCATTCCATGCACTTCTCTTCGTAATTAGTACGTCCAATGGCTGAATCATCTAGACGGAATCCATATCGACCCCTCATTTTGAAATTACCGATCATAGAATCAACTCTTAATGCACTAGTAGTATCAGAACCGGGTACTAAATAAGTATACGATGGTGTCGAATTAGTATAACCAATCTTGGGCCTAATGTAAGGGAATCGCTTCCACCAGTTCATGCCTTCATCTTCATAAACGAAGAAACCAAAAAGATTATTGCCGTTGGAAGCCAATACAAGTTGGAAAGTGTTGAACTGGAAATATTAATTTATAAATTGTAAAGAGAATGATTAATTAAACACTCTTATGTATAGAAATGATTAATTTAAATTCTATGTCAACAGCGATATTTATTAAATTAATTATAAGAATAATAAATATTACAGTATACTGCACGATAAGTGTTACGTATTGCTACAGCTAGGTATCTTACCGAATTATATTTATAATTGATAAAGCCTGGATAAGGTACTAATTTTGACCAGGTAACAATAATAACTTGTTTTGCAACAAAGTTAGGCACAACTTTAGTGAAAAATCCAAAGTTTTTGGTATCGTTTTGGCCGTTAGCTAAAGCGGCTTGAAATTTGGCTACGTCCATTGTTGCTCGCTTTAATATTTCAGTAGAAATCGGATTTCTATCAGCTCTATAATACTGATGGAAGTAGACTCTTGTTACAGGATTTCGGCCATCAGCGTCACTATAAAATGGTCCAATAATGCTTGTTTTTCGGTTTAATGGTAATGGATTGCGTGGTGAGCCAAAGTATGGTCTACCAAGAGAAACGAATCCATTCATAGATACCTATTAATAAATGAATGTACCAGAATAAGAAAGATTTTTGATGATTACGATGTTAATAAGGCCATTTATGGTACAAATGATTATGAAATGTTCCTATACTATAATTATCTAATGACTTGCGAACGTGTGAAACTTACGTAAATTGTTTTTTGAAATTTGTTCATAAAGAATACAGGAACTTTCAGGTTATAACGACGATAGCCATCATCGGTATAGCCAAATGCTCTATCGAAGTACTTGTACCCATAAGGATAGAGTCTTAATTCTGTTTCACGCAATTAAAATACATAATCGTTATTCATAATTACAGGAATAATTTTTATATTGTAAAAGAACTTCTACATTCAAAAAAATCAATTCTTATACACTAAGCACATTTCATCTCAAAGTGTAAGCAAATAATAATAGTTACTTTAATTAAGAAATGATTCATTAATATCATTATTACCTGTACAAGAAAATCCATTGCCAATAAAACCTGGTTTACATTTGCATGAGAATGAACCTGGGTAGTTGGTACAATTAGCATCTGGATCGCAAACCTTTTTCTGTGAGTTACATTCGTTAATGTCTAAAATGGATGGAAGGGATATAAATATCAATAATAAATAATTGCACGAAACAAAGTTGGCACAACCTTGCATAGGATAAATGATTAGTTACAAAATTCATATAAGTTCATATTATTGAAGTAAATACTTTGATTAACAGTCATATCTAATTTATATTCAGATTGGAATGCACAATCTATTCTGAATTACCTTGATTACAGAGTTTACCCATCCAACCTCGGAAACACTGGCATTTGAACGATCCAATAGTGTTAATACAGACTCCCCGAGAGCAAGGGCTGGTAAGACATTCATTGATGTCTACGGAAAAAATATCGAATATAAATTGATGAAAAGGAGACTTGTTCAATCCTACATTGATTATCATTGATAGTATAGAGATACTAGAGGAAAGTAAAACGCACCGACTGGTATTTTAATTGATACTGGCTGCTTGTTATATTGATTTCCAGCACGGCATTCATAAATACCGGTGTGGTTATGAGAGAATGCATCGAACTTCAATATTGTTTGAGTACTGTAATCATTGAGTTTAGATGAATAGATTGCAACGCCAGAGCTATTTCTCATCATTTTTCCGTTTCTGTAAATTTCCACTTTAGGTGCTGGGAAACCTTTAGCAGTACAGATGAATTTAATTGCTGCACCAACTTCTAGTCTGTTCGGACTAGAATAGTAAGATACAGTGTTTTTTGTAACCGGAATACCTAAACATTATTTTTAGAATTTTAAGAACGTCAGTTGTCAAATATGTCTGCTATTCAATTTTTTCGACATCTCCACGTCAACAATTAAGGGCTTAAGCCCATGCAAGTATATTCATGTTTGACTTCTTAAAAGCTTCAATTTATTTCTACATACCTCCGACACAACCCCTTCCATTAAAGAATCCGTAACTGCAGTGGCAAATGTAAGCGGTGTAATTCATAACGTTTTGGCATTGATTTCCAGGACCGCAAGGATTTCCAGCGCATGGTAGTGCGAAATCTATTTAAACACATTTTACATTAGGCATAGAACTAAGAACCTTATAAGAATCGTTATGCTAACTAAATTTAGACGTTGCTTTCAATAATAGAAATAGAAACACAAACGATGAAATTAATACATCAATTACTACATCTTACTACCTTGTGGTGGTCGGAAACATGTTGGTGCTGGAACTGAAAATATGAAGAATTACAATCCATTAGAATTTATAGTATACTTTAGACCTCTTAAGGGTTATATTACAAATATATTGTAATATCTATTTTAATTATATTAATAATCCTATAGAATGTACTATAAATACTGAAACCGACACCGGCGTTTTTAATAGCATACGGAATCGTACCTTTGCATCTTACTCCAACATCTTTGAAATGGTTACAATGATTGGTATTGCCCCAACCGTAATGGCGACATTGAGCAATCGATTTTTCATTGCCTTTACAATCAACTCCAGATAGCCAAATTTGACCAGTACCGTTGCCGTATTGAGCACAACAACGCCACGATTCAGCTCCTTCATAACCAAGTTGTCTACAAATTACATTAGCATCTTTCATATCGAATCCATAATCGCATACAGTTCCCCACTTTCCGAAACGATAAACTTCCACTCTTCCTTCATTGCGTGTCTTACCGCCAACTAAGCGAACCGGTGCTGTATCGTTGTCTATTAAGTTTTGTATTATAGTAGTAAATGAAATAGCAATTATTTTACAAAAGTGATCACGAGCATAAGCAGAGTACAAGGAATTCAGTATATTAACTTCTGTTTTCGTTATATCTGAGACTGTAATACAAAGTTATAACTATTGTAGTAAGATTAATGCCTTTGCCATTTCAATACGCAGAGATTACATTAAAATTGAAAATGACTTACTTCCAAGTGGCTTAATGTTAATTGGCTTGCATCTTCCATTTGTATTGTTGCTGCGATGGAATATACTGCAGTTCCAGACAGACAACAGAGAAAGAGTAGTCTGTGTTGGTATACAATTCTTCAATAATCCGAGCAGATTTTGACAATCTTCGCGACATAAAGTTTGGTCTGTTCCATTTCTACATGGAACAAACGAAGCTACACAAAGAGCTTTAAGGATTCTTTCACGACATGGAGGGTAGAGACTATTAGGATTTCCTAGTAATCGCATTATGTCCTTTTCGATGCTCTCTTGGGGCAAGAAATTTAAGGATGATATTTGTGTGGTGTTGTAAACTTGTTTACAAATACTTCCGGTATATTTTGTACATGTCGGTCTAAGAAATTAGAGAATTACGATAATAAATTACTTTATAATTTTCACTTTAAGTACAATTTAGACAAAATTGAGCTATAAAGATAGCTACTTTATTATGCAGAGGTAAGCCTACGATATTAAATTAAACTTACGCTGGTTGTGCGGTTGGTGGAGTAGCTATTTTTTTTTTAAAGATAATATTATAATATTAGTGAATTTACTTTTGCTAGTCATGTGCTGTTCTTTATGCGGCTAAGGTTAAATAATGGTAAAAGTGATGACCAAAAGCATAGACTCTAGAACTATGTACTTCTAGAAATCTATGCCAAAAGTAACCACTGCATCAATGCTATCAGATATAATGTTATTAGCTATCCTCAAATGCATAGCAAATTCAAATGTCCTCCGTAATTTAATGATAGCACCATTTAAATATTAACTGTTTTAGATCTTTTAATCTGTTTCACTGATTATCATAAAAAGCTGTCCTAACAGTAGACAAATACATATCTAACCTGTCGAATTGCCACTCATATTATTCATATGTATATTCATATTTGGTAGTGAGATACAATATTTGTAGCCAGCCTTTCTACTCGGCGCATTTTTACATGACGGTAGCTGCATGGTCGTTGACGCATTCTTTAGCCTAGCTAAGCAGCTATGCACATAAGGTAAAGCAGCATTACAGTCTTCTTGACATATGGTATAGATTTTATTTCCATGACATTGAGGGAATCCTTGTAAGCAAGAAAAGCGTAAAAGGACTTCTAGACATTGTTTCGTAACTAAACCAGATGAATGAGCGTAGAACGTATTTGTTGCAATTAGTCCTTCCATAGTTTCAGGCGATTGTGATCCTAATTGTAGTACACTGGTGTGATTGACGAACTTTTTACAAAAGCTTGGCTTAAATTCTCGACAGATTAAGTTGTTTGAAAATGTAGGAGATGGAGGTTTCATGGTGCTAAACAAAAAATTGCACTAAATTAATTTAAGCAAGACTAGTATTAGAACGACTACAATTATCAATTTAAACTGTTGGACTATAATTTCAAGCTACTAACAACCAATCTTTACAATTGAATTATAACTGAATGTAATACTGTGTATGCCAAAAACGAAAAGATTCTACGCATGCTGCTATATAATCTGTAATTACGTTGGCATAGGCGTAGTAGGGTCCATTTTACCTAGAAGTAAAATTTTAAGAAACGTATCGGTAATTTTGTCTTCGTAAGATAAATCAATCCTATTTAGTCCTAGCGATATTGACTTACAGACGACGCCAGCTTCTTCACCAGGTCTCTTACAGGTGGACATCATGCCATTTCCGGAATTAAAGCAGTCAGTAATAAGTTTTTCGTTGCCTTCACAGTGGACATTACTTAGCATATAATGACCGGTTCCATTACCAAATTGTCCGCAGCAGGCTGTTCTTTGTGCTCCATGGTATCCTAATTGCTTGCATACAATGTTAGCAGCTTGGATATTCCAGTTGTGACCGCAAATAGATCCCCAAGTGCTGTTTCGGTATATTTCAACGCGACCTTCTCTACTTGAATTTCCACCAACAAGGCGAATATCAGGCAGATTTACTAAATATTACAATCAAGAAATTAAGATTACTACTTTAGATTGTATTGAACGACTATTTTACAATGAGATTAATTTTGAATTGATAGAATCAAAATCTTGTTTATACCTTGAATCGGCTTTTGATTGACAGCTATACATTTTGAAGTTGCATTGGTAAAGCGCTCACAATTAAAAATTTTAATTACACTTTTGCTAGCTGGATAAGGCACACATTCTTTAACTAAACGCATAGCTTCCATACAATCTTTTCGGCATAAGTTACGTGGCATGCCTCCTCGGCAAGGGGAATAACTAAGCACGCAAAAACTAGCTAATAATCTCTTCTTGCATTCGTGTGATAGATCACTTCCACTACCTAGAAGATCATTAGCAATGGCTTCGATGCGAGACTTTGGAAGGTATTGGTCATTTGATATCATAGTAACATTGGTTTGATTGAAGAAATTAGAACAAATGCCACTTTGATATGGAACACACATGGATGCTCTACGAAGACCAAGGAAAAGGAATCACGATTAATCTTAATTAGCTGTCCATTAAACTATATCTGATTTGTCTTCTACTATCAACTACGATTTTACAAGAAGTCTTATTTCGGCAAAAATTTTAATTGAAACTATGAGCTTGATTAGAATGTTAGATTTTGCAATTATCTGGTGAGTGTTAAGCAAAATAATAAAATGGATATCCAAAACGACTGTCGGCAACTGATGCTTTTCGACGATAGGATATCTACTTTAAAGAAATACTGTGATTTTAATATGTCAACTGATTATAACTAATATACGCGTACATATTGTATTAAGACCAAGCTATTTGATAATTATAATTTTTGCAACCATATACTACAGTTCCTGATTAGTTTGTAGCTGCAGAAGAGTGATAAATAATATAACTAGTATGTACTATACCATTAAATCATAATTATTTAATGGCTGATTAAAACTTACGTTGCTGTTGGTGTCATTTCTAGAAATGGAAGACAAATTTGAATTATAAGAATTAGTTACTGAATAATAGGTAAAATATTGTATATGTATAGCATAACTATGAAACTGCAAATCGAAATAACAATTATTGATATCCTAAATTGGTAGTGAAAAAGATTCATTACAGATAGTTACCAACCAGTAGAATCGCTAACGATATCATTACATGTGCCATTGTTAGCGCGGCTAGGATGTTGAGAACAATTTGGAAGATGGACATTAGGCATGTTCTGTAAACATGCCATAACAGTTGGCTTGTGACTTTGACAGTCTTCGCGGCACAAGAAGTATGATTGGTTATTGTAGCATTCAGGGAATGCCGTTTCGCACATAAATGGCAATATTCTCTGAATACATTGAGCTGATAATGATCCGGTAGCATGTGCAAATAGTATGGACAATACCATATTTCTTTCTTCATCTTGAGGAGCCCGAGATCCAATTTGGGCAATAGAACTTGTAAACAAGTACGGGTTACAAAGTGTAGAGGTATATTGAACACAAACAGCCTGACCGGGTTTGGATGGATTAAATGGTGTTGGTCCCATCGTCATCATCTGCGTCGGTTTCATAGTCGTCATATTAAAGCTGGGAACAAATAAGCAAATGTATAATTATTACTATTAATCAATTATTTTCCTAGTAGATCAACAAGCATGATTACGTGAAAGTCAAGATTATAATAGTGTATACTGTGGAATAAATGACATTACTATAATCGCTATAGTCCTTACTTCATAGTTCCCGTAGGCATTGGTTGTGTCATGGGATCTTTTGTGGACGTATCAGTCAAATTATTAGTGTTATTGGTGGTACCTATGAATTGATGGTTACGTTATATATCAGCTGTTAATTATTTTTATTTCGACAATCAACTCTCAAATATCTGAAGAAAGGATCGATAAAAGAGGTCGTAATTTGTTCAATATAGATCAATATTCTAACTTACTGGAACAAATAACTCCAGCAGTCATCCCAGAAGAGCAATTAGCATTGCCAAATCCGTTATGGAAACATGAACCAAGACCAGGCTCGTTACCTTTGCAGTAGACATTAGTAAGAGCGAATGATGTTGTGCTTTGACCAAATTTATTACAGCAAGTAGCAGCTTGTGCTTTACTGAAGCCCAACTGACGACAAACTACCATAGCGTTGTGCATGTTCCAATTTTTGTCGCACACAGTTCCCCAACGGCCGTTGACGTAGACTTCAACGGTACCTTGATTCCTTAAGTGAGTATTGGTTAGACGTACAGGAATTGTTCCGTTACCTAAAATAAATAGGACTATGTATAAGATATTGCCTCCATCGCGTGAACATAGAAGCGACTTGACGTAACTGTTATACTGTAGGCAATATATGAATTAAAAAGCATAAGTTAATGCGTAATTAACTAATATATGAATGGACATGCAAGAGAATATAGAAAATAGAAAATTTAGATCGTGTGAAACAATTATATAATCAAATTATAAAGCGTTGCAACAGATAATTATCTTTCTATTACATAGGATAAATACAGTTTAGATACTTCTCAAAAAAACACGTTCTACTGCAATTCTTACCGATTGGAGCTGCATTAGTATTAGTACAATTCATATCGGGAAATTTCGAGCAATTCCAGAATCGTAGTATCATTTGACTAGCAGGATAGGGCATACATTGACGGATAAGTGTCGCAACTGATTGACAACTCTTTCTGCATACTCGAACGGGTCGATTTTGCGAACATGTTACATAAGCCGCTCGACAAATTGGTGAAATTAGCTTAGCACGACATTCCTTACTGATGGCCATATTAGAGTTGATGATCTTTTCTAAACCTTCTTCTACTTGCTGTTGCGGAAAGTTAGATGACAAGGCAATTTGGGAGCCTTGTAGAGCATTTTTACAAAGGCTTCCTTGATAAGAAACGCATTCAACCCTGTCAGATTTGAAAGTAAGCAAATAGCGATTAACAATAGTAGTTAAGGGATCCTTGCAACTTAGTTTAGTCACCTAGTGCAGACAAATTGATTGTATAGAGTAAGCTACTATAAACATTTAATAAAAAATTTTTTTCAATTAACTTACTGAGTCTGCGGATTTGGTGGAGCCACTACATATGAAGATATAGACAGATGAAGTAGTTAGTCTTTACGAAGATGATAATTTCGAATAGTTATGAAACACATAAGAACTATTTTGAGTTAAACAGTGTGACTCTATGTTGATATTGAAATTGAGATGCAATAAGTCCTAGCGAGCTGCTGGATATTACATACTACAATACAATATAATCTCTCATTATCGAATGTTATAATTAATTTTATTTATTTACCTTGATCAGGTTGTGGCAATTTGATTGGACTACACTTAATACCAGTACTATTCATTGATGGTAACTTAGAGCAATCGACTGTATTAGGGTCTAATCGTTTTAAGCAAGTTTGTATAATATTGGAAAAGGGTTGACATTGCTCTCTGCACAAACGAGCAGGTTTTGATCCGTCGCATACTGAGTACGAAGTAGTACAAATTATTGGTAACACTGCCTTGAGACAAGTCGGTGATAATAGTCCAGTAGCATGGCCATAAAATAGTCCAGTAAATAGGGTAGCTTCAGTACCAATGATGGAATGATTAGCAACATATATATTTCGTCCTTCCAAATAACGTTTACATAGGAAGCCGGTATATGGTTTACAGACTTGCATCTGTTGAGGAATCGTTGGTCGTCTAGAAAGCGAATGTAATACATTTGTAAATACTACTATTTTAGGGTTAAGGCTAGGATAAGAGTAAATTAGAAACGCAATAGGTGCCATCAACTGGAATTAGATAAAATTATCGTTAAAATTAGGCTATATGTAAATGCATAGCATGGTATCAAGTAAGTCAATAATTATTCTGTCTAAACTTATGCCAGCTATATCTCGTGATTAATAATTATTATCAATAATACGCATTAATTCCATGATAATTAAAATAATACGTACGCAGTTGTAAATGGTGTTTGAGTAACTCCACCTATACACAAAAATTAGCATGACATATTTAGTTCGCCAATCAACAACCTCATGAATGTCTAACAATTAACTTGACATTTTCTTAAGTATTAAACTTACTAGACCACTGGCATCGAGGTCCAGTAAACCCGGGGTTACAAGTGCAGAAAACGCCGCCATGATTATCAGATTTACATTTTCCATTGATGCAAGGATCGCTAACAGCACATGGATTTCCACAAGCACGATCTAAAATAAGCGTAAACTTTATCTGTAAGTCGTGAAAGTTCTAAAATAGTTGGCAAACATTGAATTTATAGAAGAAGTGCTCGTAATGTATAAATATCGAAACCAATAGAGATACAATTAGCTACAAAAAATCCGCTCTTATGGTTACGTATAGCTATGATCCTAAATTTTTATTATTTAGTCTTATATTGAACAATATTTACCTCGGTAACAGGAAGGATCGTTGTCATATTTGCTACAGTTGCAAATGTATGAAAGTTTTAAGCCAATACGTACATTAATACAACGACCAACCCGGCAAGGTCGTTTATCGCAAGGATAAGAAGCACCATTTAAAGCTGATACACATTAAAAAGATGGCTCCTTAGCAAAGTCTATCTTTAATAATTTATAGTCCCTTCATATTATAACTATACGGTAGAAGCTAGTCCTTTATAAAAATTTTCTAACGCTAGCATTGCTGTATCTGCTATACTTAGTCTTGCATAATGAAAGTAATAAAATAAAATTCGATTTTTTGCTGGATGAGAAAAGTAATTGTTTTATGAACTATTGTCTATTTGTTTGCTTAATAAATTTTACTTAGCGTAGGATATTGCTTATAAATTTAGAAAGTATTTGAAAAAAACTGTAGCCGCCTTACCGTTATTGCAAGTAGCTCCAGTATATCCTTGGAAACAGATGCATTGATAAGAATATCCATTATTTGTATCTACACATCGACCTTGGTAGCATGGATTATGATTGGCACAATACGAGTACTTAAAGACTGAAATGAAATTTTATTATCAATAAATGTTTGATGTAAATTGCCCCAAATTCTAAATTTTAAGCATTTGCACAAAGTTATTTAGCCAAAATTAAGTTTACCTGTATCACAACGATCTCCTGTGTATCCACTTTGACATGAACATTTGTAGTAGGATTGGTTACCGAAAGTCCAATGGTAACAACGACCATTAACACAAGGCATTGACATGCAAGCATTAGGAGCTACGAAGGATAATTAGCAATTACAATTAATTGATTCCGTATCTGAAACAATTCATTTATATTGATTCTATCGCACGTCCATATTATGTAAAGAATCCCATAAATAATTTATGCATTTCCTTTCGCTTTAACCAAATATTTCTTTACCTGTAGCATTTGTAGGACGTATGTTACCAGTAACATTTGTAGAATGGGATTGTGTACCTAGCATATTATCGATAACAGAAAGGATCAGTATTGTTAGCTAAAAGCTCGATTGATATTTCTTGTTCGCATCGATGATTTATAAATGCGCCCAATAGACTTATTGTCAGACTCATTCTTAGATAAATATGGACTCCAGACAAGTTCTGCTTTATTATTTGTCTACTACAGCAAATAACAGCTAGGAATTATGAAGCTATCATTAAAGTTATAACTTATTATTTGCTTTATGTAGTATAAAAATAGCGATTATTCTGCACTTTCTAATAAGATCTCTATATAGCATTTGGTCCTTTGTTTAGCAAGGAAAAGAATCCAATCTAAGATTTAATTAAACGCTTACCTTGTGTCGAAACTGGTTTACTGACGGTCACATTTTGACTGTGGCTCACCTATAGTTAAGTTACAATTAGAATTAGAATTGAAATGTATCTACCGGAGATAAAATACGAAATACGATTTAGATAGCAATACTTAATAACTATAAAATACTATTCTCTACATGAATTAATCCAGCATTGCTCCATAGCTATCCGAAAATTTAAAACAAAGCATATTACTCTATAACAGTGTAGTGATGCACCCATATTTGATTATAAGAATAGCTATATTTGATTATGCAAACGGCTATATGATATAGTTAGGTTACTTTGAATAGATAATATTGCGAAGCTTCTATTAAATAATTGTTAACTACTATATTAGAAATTGTTGATGACTAATATTAGCCAGTTGACTAATTATGATACAAGACTTATGAGGCTAGAAACACTGTGGCTTATTAAGGTGCCTGTGATAAAGTGATCTTCAAAACAATAAATCAAGAACTACAGTTTCTTGCAAATTTCACTTTATTACAGAAGTTAGGTTCGTCTAACTACCAAGGACTATCTGACTATCTGACAATCTACTTCTTACAGCAAAATTCACGATTTATATACGATTAGTTACAAAATGCTTTTACTGTAACAAATCTTGTCTTGCCCATTAAGTCGCAATACTCCGAAAGGAGCTAGACGTTAATATAAGAGTAGTAACATCTTAAGAAGAATGATTTAGATTGTAGAAGGTAATGTGCTATTTGAGAAAATATTTTGCTTGATGACTCATGTCTGATTGAAGATTAAATGGATTTAACGAAATGTATATAAGAACTGTAGAGATGAGCTTTTAGGGAAAGAGACTTCACTTTGCTTTGAGCTCGGAACACTTTAGATTTTAGACTAGATTCTTGTAGTAATTAATTATTGCTCTACTATTCCTGAAACCTTGTAATAAAAGCCTTTTAGAAAATACCATTTGACTAAGATAGTTATTGTGAGACACCTTTTATGACAAACACGATCATGTTTCATTGGATAACTTGGATAAGTGATGCATAGTATCGCTAAAATGTTTGGATAGTTGAAGTATCAAGGGCTCATTTGTACGACAAAGACATGAAAAAAGTCTTCGATCATAGCGGTATTAATGTATCATTCTCTTCACTTTATTTAATGATATTACAATATAGTTATTACTTGATACCGTAACTTCTCATTGATGGTTACCGTACGAAACAAGTAAAGCCATTGACAATTCAATAGGTTTCGAAACACAGGCAAATATCTCAATTAAAAATTTAAGGATATAGTTGAAAGAAAATTTTATTTTACGCTCTATTTCCCGTGATTTGTTAAAGCTTCGAAACCCCCAACTATAATATAGATAATATAATGAGACTTAGCAAGACTGTTCTGAAGTATTGTCTGACGATACAAAGTGCCTCAAGCGACATACTATTTTTAAGACTGTCATAATTGATATTGCTATTTTACAGGGACACACGTATATACTCTTCTTATTGAAATTGAGTACCGTCCTCATGTTACTTAATTCAATCTAAAATGCCTATTACTAGTGATGGATAAATAGACACAAACTAACGACTGATTCAATTTTAAAGAGTTTAACTTTATACACTTTCAACTTTCACAGCACATAACAGTAAACTATAACTAATAAAGAATAAAACCTGTAATTTACAATTTATTATCGATCATAATTTATTTTCTATAACAAAAATGAAAAAATAATTGAAACTAAAGTGAAACGTAATAATTGATTTTAAAGTTCACTAATTAATGTGGCGAATAGTCAGTTAGTTAGACTATACGGATACAAATTAATAAATATTCTTCGTTTCTACTATAATCTCGAAATTTTTTATATCAATATTTTACATTTAAACAGAATACCAATATGGTAGGTATCTAGAATAATGTGCCGTTCGGTTATAAAACTACATACACTGCGTCATGATATCTTGCTCTTTGGCTTCAATATTCATTTAAATTCGGTTACTTAAATAGGAAAACGTACTACTGACTGGTATGAAAAAATTGATGAGCAAATTGATCAACTGATCAGTTTGCTCATCAATTTTTTCAATCAAGTTGTAGACAAGGTGACATCATAAATTAACGTCGTTGAATTGTTAGCGTTAAAAGCGAATTTATCTATTGACGTCCTACTTTTAGGAGCGATAGCTAAATTCAGTACCAAACCTGGTATGAAAAAGTTTCTTATATTTTATGCTCATAACTATACCCATTCGTTTGATGAAGATCAAGTTAAGAAATGAAATATTTAACATTTGATGATCTTAGTAAAGTACTGTCTTTGTAAAATAAATTGAGTACGAATACGATATATCTTTACATTACGTTTATATTCAGGGTACAAAATGTGAAGTAAACCAATGTAAAATATTACCTTGGGGCAGTTTGTAACGAGTACTTTCAAATGCGATTGTAATGAATCAGCTTTAAATTTATTGCAAGTGTAAAGTTACTACTAGGAATTCTGATATAATAGATTATTATGTAGAACAATGATATAGAATATCAGCCGCTGAAAAATAGGAAATTAAGCTTCAAACTATAATTACTTCATGTAAGTCGTTGAGATCAACTTTGGAAAATGATATTATGAAATGCGTTTCTATTTGTCTATTAAGAGTGCTTATATTGCTTGAACAAGACTATCATTATGATCCACAGCTATACTGTTACAAAGATATTATTTATGAAGAACAGATAGACAGTCCCTTTATGTCTTTAATGGCTTTATGTTAATCATTTAGGCAAGTGTGGAAATGACACGATGAAAAAGGTTTTCCTTCTTATGATATAATACCGCCCATAACATATCGAATATGAAATAGTAGGACAGGTTTACTATTTGCAAGATTCGGGAGAAAAATTTCAAGTAATCAATTTTGGTTATAATTTTATCACCTCTGTAAACCAAAAATAGCTTGTTAGGAAGTCGTACGCGGAAATAGTAGTTAAAATTACAATAATATCAATAGGAAAAATATTGTTCAGTCATTTTTGATTAATGACACTTAGATAAAACTTTTTTATAAAAATTTTTCAATATAAACAGAAACGAAGGCTGGCTAATTGAGCTTGAAATCGAGAAGTCACACAAGTAAAATAAATTTTGTTTTATACATTGGATTAAACGGACACTAAATTCTTATTAAAATAGTAATAAAGATTTACTTGCAAGCTCAAATGAAATGACCTATGGATTTATATGATGATGCTATATAAAATTCTGTGAAGTAGTTATACGCAGAAAGCAAAATTGAATTAATGCCATACTCAAATTTATTAAAATTAAATTGTACCTATTGCATGATATATTAGTGTTAGTTTTGATATAGAACGTAAAATAGCATTGGCAATATTTGCCCAATGGAAGGTAAAAATTAACTATGAATTTCATACCTGGATGGTTAGAGCCAGTAAAAGGATAAAAATGAACTTCATTTCAGCCATGATTGAAGTTCCAGCTTAATTACCGTGTATATTCCAACTGAATTTAATATTAGAATTGCTATCGATTTACATCCAATAAAAGAAGTATATTATAATACTTTACATATTGTTCTCCAATGCTGCATAAACACGATATGTTATTATGAAGTACAGTCGATGTAGATCCAACTGTTGACGAGAAAGAATTGTAGTCAACAAGCTGTCCATAATACAAGTTCGGGCGTTAACGTCATTGTTCCCAGAGTTGTTATGGATACATTTATGACGATATTTCCTTCATTGTCACTTCGGATAAAAACCTCACAGATCAGCTCATTTAAATACATCTTCGTACTGAAATATGATATTACCACTATTGATTGATTTAACTATAGAAGATTGTTATTAATACTTTTAGCAAAATCGAATAAAATTAAAAATAAATATCGTAATATTTTTCTCTACGGTTAGGCAAGATAATAAGGCAATGCAAAGGTACGGTACTATGCAAAAGATGATGGAGGTTATTATTACCATAGTATTAGTATTAAAGCCTGTAACAACCTCAACATCTCTGACATCATAGTTCTAGAATACATTATAGAGCGCGGCTGCTTTATCCTTTACTTTATAACTGTCATATTCAGTATAGTGCAAGCTTCACAGTAATGCATATGCAAATATTACAGGTCATATTGTCCAAAACAGTGGTATCTATTCAATGGTATGGTCTGATTATTATCAGACTATATTTGATTGTAGAAATTTGCATATAAAGTAATTTATACGTTCACTTATGACGTACGATTGGTCATATTTAACATTTCGATACATATATTTTTTTAATATTTTTTTCTATTTAAAATTAAATACGGTTATATCTGACAAGATTTGGCTAGAAAACCCTTATATTATATATAAGGTTTATTGTAGCGGCATTGACATTATTTTGGGAGTATATATGACAACGTTCGTGAATTGATTATATCATTTTTAAATGGTAATCAGTGCGATCATAAACACTTTGGAAATACACACATTTGCCTCGTTCTACATCCTTGGAATTAACAATAGATCCGATTAAGGGTTATGTGTATAAATACAAGTTGCTCTATTTATTCTGATAGCAGGTCTTACAAGTAGGTGATCAATATTTAAAAAATAAATAAAGCAGTTGATACTACATTTGATGGCATAAATTATAACCGGATACATTTATAAGTAGTGTGCCATTTCGATGCAATATTACATTTATAGCCCTTCTATTCGTATGAATGCTTATTCTACTAATTCGCTATAGTAGTATTACATGTTGTTTTAGCCTATTTACTGTGGAACTAAGGATCACCTACGCCGTCCATCAACAACATCTATTTTGCTAATAAATTGATCATCAATGTGACAGCAGCCCATTCATTGCACTATATTGTTTGAATGAAATAGCAATGATAGCCGTTGAGAAGGGATCGTACAATTTTCCAAATCAATATGTCCTACAACGTTTTAAACAAAATATCTTTGATTGATTACCTTCAAGTATCAAAGCAATAAGCATTTTCAGCGTTTGTTAATTGATAATACATCACACATTAGTAATTCTTGTTTTAATCAACTTTGTATTAACTGGAAGAGTAAACCGCTACAGTTAATCAAATGTGACGTATTTATGGAGGTCTACGACTATATATAATTCAGCATTCACTAACAATTGCATTGAACTCCTTAATGACATCAATAATCTGTAATATAGTGCAAGGTGTTGTCGATTAGCTGCTATCGATAGCCTCATTAAAACATACAGTACTGGTATCTTATCGCTGTCAGTGTATTTATATATGGTATACATTATTTGAGAAACTGTAGCTTCATGATAATGAAACGCAGCCATGACAATTTGCTACGTTCACGGAATTTATGAGTATGACCACAATAGATTCCACGCATCTTTTGGTACAACCTATTATATTTTATCGCAATAAAGTCCTAGAGAATGACAACCTTGACATTTTGTAATCAAGTAAATTTCTCTCTTGAAATTCACAACCTGTAATGCCTCAGCGCGAAACAATATCAGAGTACAGTACTAGATTATTCGAACAATCGTACAAAGCTGATTCGTAATAAGACAAATTTAATTAATGATATAACGCCACCAATTCCACTGCAATGTTGTAGGAAAATCTATTGATTATCGCATACTTATTAGAAGACAGAGACTGTTGACAGGTTCAGTATTGATAATTATCAAATTTTAAGTACAACCAAAACCACATATAACTGCATGATGTAATTCTATAATCATCAAGAAGTTTATTGATTTAAGCCTCCTGTAAAATCTTCATATTCACTTTCGCTCATTAAATTATTCAACTCTTTCTTGTTACTGAGACGTACTTTAATCAACCAACCTATTGATAACCAAATACGTTCAATGTTACTCTAAGAATTATGAATTAGTTAAAATCCACTTACAATTTAATTACTTATTTCAGAGCTCAAGATACAGTATATATCAAGTAATTAAAAACAGTGACCCAAGATAGAGCAAAAAGATACAACCAAACATGGACTACTCAAGAAATATTCTTGAATAGTCCATGAACGAAGTCATCATCTATTCACACATGTACCAAAATTGATTGCAGTTTTTGGTATTGTTAATTACAATGCTTCGAAATAGTAGGATAAATTAATGCAAGATAGAATAAAGGACTGTATAAATGGCTAAATATACCATACCTTCTTCAAAGGGTGAAGAATTGACTAATGAAGGTCTATCCAAGACATCATCATTAATTTCGATAACCTCACCGCTAACGGGCGCAAATAAATCATTGGCAGCTTTAACACTTTCCAAAATACCAAATTCCTCTATAGTATAAGAAGAAATCTTTTGGTATGAGGTAAATTATTTTGGAAAAAGGACAGTATTAATTATCTACTTGATGATGTGAGTAAATAGCTGATAATGTAGTATGTGCTATCATGCTATTAACAGCTGTGTGACATTGCATACTTACCATCCGTAATAATAGTTTCGCTCACATCTGGCAAGGAAACATATACAACATCTCCTAGCTTTTCCTGAAGATCGAATGAGTGTTACGTTAGCGTATGACATCACGATAAGCAAAGCATACGTGTTATTATAGTATGAATTTCGTTTTACGACGTGGTTGGATAGCATGTAAGGTGCTTACTAATGACTAGTATTGGATGGCTTGATCATCTGTCATTGATGTCTCTTCTTACCTGAGCGTACTTGGAAATGCCGATAGTCCCAACGCCATTTTCCATGGAAACCCATTCATGTTCTTTACTATATTTCCTTTCTATGAATATTCAAAATAGCAAATGCAAATTGCTGTCAGGTTATTGGACCACAAAAAGGTTGTCTGATCTTGCAAAGCATTACAGTAATATGCCTATACTAATGGAATGGTATTATTATCCATTGTAGTCGAATCAACTAGTGGAAAAATTGGGGTATCATGTAGTAGGTGAAAGCAAGGATAACTGGAAAACAACATTCACACACTCTATAGAGCAACTGTTTGACCGAGACAAAATCATGTTGATTTAACAAGGCACCATCACTTGCAAAATAAATTAACTCCAAATTTGTCATTGGAAAATGCTGCTAACTCATGAATCATGATTGATTGATTGGTTTTTTTTGGTGGAAAAGCTAGCATGCATTTTATTGTAATGATCGATCATCTCGTTTATTTTCTATTTTTCAATACACTAATGGAATCAAAATTTATTTTACTGAAGTTGAGATAAAACAATCAAAGATTGAAGTGCAGCAACTAGAATGATTATTGCATCCTATGCAGCAATACACGTCCAAAACGTTACATTATCTTGATCTGATAGCAAGTACTGTCATGAGCAAAATTGACGATATCAATCACAAACCCGCATTTAAGATAGTACTTTGATGAATCCAACGACTATGAGCATTCTTTGAAGCATTAAAAATAGGCAAATTGATCGCTTTAGCGCTGTTAAAGCGAGAAGCAGTCACAATTCGTGATAAATTTCTTAAGCAGGTAAGAGCAGCCATCCTCCTTTGTTTATCTCTTTGAGTTGCAAATGACTTCAATCTTGGCAAGCTGTATAACGCGATTGCCTGTTGGGTACAGCGCTATCCTGTCTTTGATAATGACGTGAAGGCTTTTTTTCAAAAAGCAGAAGTGCACTATCGTTAGTTGATAGGCAAGTATTAACAACTGCAATGAGTGCTAATGAATTGAGGAAATAATCGCTTACCTGATTGCAGACTGACGTCAATATGGCGTACTATAAGAGTAAAGCAAAGCGCTCGCCTTGAGGCAAAGAGTACAATGCAATGGCTGCACTGCACATTGTACATTGTTTCCTACTGTCCAGTACAAAAGGGGGACATGTTTCAGTAACGATGGTAAAATATGGACAGTGGAAATGGTTTCATTTCGTGCTAATCACGATGGACTACAGTGTACAGTACAGTACTGAATGGTCCCTTTTGGCGTACAGTACTGTACAGTACTGTATGGTACAGTACAGTACAGTACAGTACAGTAAACTGTCAGCTCACAGAGTGCTTTGTACTGTAGTTGACCAACGCCTCAATGTGGGTGTGTTAACGCTTATGAAGTCAAGAATGATTGGAGCTAACTAACTCTACTCATACTCATCACTGTACTGTACAGTACCTGTAGTCCTGTGCAATGTTACAGTACCGTACAGTACTGTACTGTACTGTACTGTATGTGCTGTTATCAGAAATCCAAGTACTGTACACTGTACACTGTACAGTATATTTGACGATGGACGCTAAAATACTGTACTGTATAATCGTGTGTGAAAGTATCGATTACAGCTTCTCTAGTACAGTACACAATACTCTGGAGAAGAGAGAGAGAAGTACTGTACTATACTACGGTGGCTCACAATTGTGAGACACCGCACTATACAGTACTGTGCTGTACAGTAAAGTAGAAAGCTTTTTTCCAAATACAGTCTTCTGTGTCCTGGGAATGAGTTGTCATTCTCAACTCCGGCTGCTGACATTGTACAGTGTACAGTACAAAGCTTTTTCAAAATACTGTACACTGTACAGTAGTCTTCTGCGTCCTGGGAATGAAATATTTCTTTTTTCGAAATACTGTACTGTACACTGTACTGTACAGTACAGTACCGTACTGTACAGTATGTACAGTACTGTACTTCTGCGTCCTGGGAATGAGCTGTCATTGTACTGTACAGTACAGTGTACAGTACAGTATAGTACAGTAAAGTACTGTACAGTACAGTAGAAAGCTTTTTCAAAATACAGTACAGTACAGTACAGTACTGTACTGTACTTTACAGTATTTCTTTTTTCGAAATACTGTACACTGTAGTCTTCTGCGTCCTCGCAATGAGTCGTCATTCCCAACTCCGACTGCTGACACTATACAGTGTACAGTACTGTCCAATCATTCAACCACTCGGCGTACTGAAATCTTACCTGATGAGTTGTACTGTACTGTACAGTGTACAGTCGTAATAATCCATGATCGTACAGTACAGTACAGTACTTTGCACATGCACGTTTTAGTCGCCGTTTAGTACTGTACACTGTACAGTACTGTACTGTACTCTACAATACAATATTCGCGCAACACTGGTCTGAAACCCCTAAAATCTGGCGCCCAGACAGAACTGAGTGTACAGTACAGTGTACACTATGCTTAGTCGTTGGCACAGTCCAAGCATGCTACGTTTTTACGGTATAGTAGGCAATGCTACAGTATATCGATGATAGGGCCCAAAGTACTTTTTTCCATGAGTAGATGGTGGTGCAGTACTCTCTAACTGCAAACTAACAGCTACATTGAATAAAATTTCATTTTGATCATTTTGAAAGTAGCCTAAGTGAAAGTCGGCAAAATGATCGGGTCATTTCTAACACAACCGTAGTAGTTTTATCGCTAGTTTGGATAGTTTCGAGAAGCAATATTGGCCAACTATGCAATATTGCGCTATACTGTACCGTATAAAGTGAAAGTTTTGTAAAGCAAGATACTGGACAGTACTGTATCCATAGAGATTTATGTACTGTAGTACTGTACTCTACAGTACTGTATGTACTGTACAGTACAGTACTGCACAGTAAATGCACTCTACGGTACAGTACATTGTACAGTACAATGGACTGTGACCGCAAGCATACAGCATGTGGACGTGATGGTAGACCTTCAACCGAGGAAATCCATAGTAAAACTACCATAGGGCGATCGACTACGCGTTACTACCGGACGTTTGAAGATCCATTTGACGGTGCTGTACTTTGACAGTAACGCTTGCGTATTAGGTCAACACTACTGGACTCGGGTAGCGGCCATGTTTCCTGCCAAGATGTTCTCTCGGTTCAATCCTTCTACAATTTCAGCGCCTTTCAGAAGGGTAATTTGTCATATAGGATAACAACCAATATTAAAGTTATCAACATAATGCATAACACGATGAATAGATACACCATCATCAGCTTACATGCACGATTTAGCCCACTTTTATTCTGGCATCTGGTGACTGACGGGTAGAGGCGACAGTTTCGAACGCAACCGGCAACCTTTAGTGAAATAGTAGTCAAAAATAGTAATGATTTTAAGAATGCCATCACTGTGTCGCCTAACTGTAATATTTTCCTATATTATGCCTTTTCGACTAGTGCATGATTTTGATAGTTCATTGTAAGATTGCTGTTCTATTCAACTTAAGACGTTTTTTGATAGTCTTAGATGTCATCAAGTACTGTCGTGAAGACAACTACTATTATGACTGTAGCTGCTAGTCTAGCTATCAGCCAAGCGTTCCCTTGAGCTGCTATATCGTAGTTGAGCTCACTTGGAATCAAGTGTACCATTTTTTTAACTACAGTATCTATTAATCATGTCAATTAAAAAAAATTAAATTCACTTGTTTATATCATTTTGATAAATTTGTTCTCTTCGCCATAATCAGACGCTCTCGGCATCTGCAACCGCCGATGGTAGACAGAAGGGACGTAAATTGGTAAGTTTATTTAAATGTTCAATGCTTAGGAATACACGCACTGTACGGTATAACTATGATAAAATGATGATACTGTAATGCCTAGCTCTCTAAATAGCCCTAAAACTGAAAACTGTTTAGTGTACACAATTTAGTTTTAAGATCGTTACTTCAACGGCTAGTAGTTTAAGGAGCGGAGACTCCAAATAGAGAGAGACACTACTGTACCGTAAAGTGAATTAATCCATCCAGTTATTCCCGTCAATTTTATCGCTGTACAATGTTGAATCAATCAATCAATTACTTTATATATTTTTTAGATTTTTACTGTAATGGGTGGCGCAGCTGCTGCTTGCGGTATAGGACTTGGAATTAACATGCTTAGAGTTGAAGCCGATGACCAACTGCACCCTCCTCATTATCCTTGGTCTCATGATGGAATATTATCGTCTTTAGATCATGCAAGGTATGAATGCGTACCACTTACGAATTGATAAACAGTGGCATTCTTTATTCAATAAATGCTGAACTGAGAGTGTGTTATCCCGTTCTTTCCTATTGGAAATGCTGCTTACTTACCGTATCATATCTCTCTATTTATACTCATGAATTTTATACTGTCCAATGATACAGTATTCGTCGCGGATATCAAGTCTACAAAGAAGTATGTAGTGCTTGTCATAGTTTAGATCAAATCGCTTTTCGTAATCTTGTTGGAGTCTCACATACTGAAGAAGAAGCGAAAGCATTAGCTGAATCAGTAAGTATTACTGACGAATAAAGCTATCTTATAGTTTACTGGATTGCAGTGTACTTGATGTGCATGGAAATCTGACTTACAATAAAGCATCAGATACCTACTTGAGTACAAATTTATAACTTTAATCTTTCAGGTCAATATCGAGGATGGTCCAAATGAAGATGGTGAAATGTTTTTAAGACCGGGCAAGGTATTTTATTCTTTTGATTGACGTAACTGCTGTCAAGTTGACTACTTCTTTCCCTCAAATAATATGCTCTAAACCGCCTTATAAACCTGTAGTTATCGGATTATTTTCCTCCACCCTATAAAAATGATGAAGAAGCAAGAGCTGCCAATAACGGTAAAATTGACAACTTTACTTACTACCGTACAAGCCAATTTTTGGACGCTAATTAGAATTTGGACTCGATACTTGATTCTGTGTAATTGTTATTCTCTCTAAACTAACTTCAAATATTTATTATTAGGTGCCTTACCACCCGATTTGAGTTTAATGAACAAGGCCAGACATGGTGGAGAGGTATTAAATAGGCGCAATATCCGTATGCCATTAATTTAGCCGCGAAATTAACATTATTAATTGCCAATTATTATAGGATTACATGTTTTCACTTTTAACGGGATATTGTGATCCTCCAGCTGGAATTACTGTAAGAGAAGGTCTAAGTTATAATCCGTATTTCACTGGAGGTGCTATAGGAATGCCACAACAACTTTTTGATGACATGCTTGAATATGAAGATGGTTAGGGTCTAATTTACGATTAAAGATCATGCTTTTTGTAATATTGCTGTAGAAAGAGTTTGATTGGTAATTAATCCCTTGCCTAATTAGGTACTCCGGCTACTGTTAGTCAATTGGCGAAAGATGTATCGGTGTTCTTAAAGTGGTGTACAGGTAACACTTAAAAAAGACAAATACTATATTACGATACAAGGAATCTACTAACATTTATGGGGTTAATAATTATTTCTTTTGTTAATAATCTTATAGAGCCTTACTATGATGATAAGAAAAGAATGTTTATGAAGGTGAATTGAAAATTTTTAAATTTCGAAATTGTCCACAAGAATTTATTTTTAAATTTTTGAAATGTAACTATTTCAAATAGGCCTTTCTCATAATATCCTTTTTGACTGGTATCTCGTGGTATTATAAACGCCATAAGTGGTCAGTTTTGAAGACCAGAAAGTTGGCATACAAGCCTCCTGTAAAATAACTGAATCAAAAAAAGCTACTTCATTTATACTTTAATACATGCTATTTTAATGCATAGATTTTGAGAAGCAATAAATATTGGATGTACTCAACATTAGTTGTTTATTGAATTTCTAAAATTGCTTTGGAGTGAGATTTAGCAGGATTAGGGTATTCAGAAATCGAAAATCCCGCAGATTGCATTGACTGAAGTTTACGACGCTCTTTTAATGTTTCATTCGTGAAATCTATGTGATTTCGTAAAGTTTTAAATAGAAAGCTAAAACAGTCAATTACTAGATCAAATCTTAATAAAATCTAAAAAGTCTTATAAAAAATGGTCACATTGTTAGATTAATAATTTTATTCCAGAAGTATATTTAGTAGTGACTTCCAGCCTAAGCTGCCGGGTAAATTACAAGACATAATTCTCAGTTTGCACATTTGACAGAGTGAATTCTCAATCATAGATTAATCTGATAAACTTAATTCATATCATGTCCATTGTAAATAGTACATCCTCAAATACCCCAAACTAAATAGAAGGTGTATTATAACCGACTTAATGATGAGTACCCGTGAGTTAAATTTATTTATTACGTTAAGAATGTATCTCTGAAGAAATTTAATGACACATAATTGCATAGAATTAAATCAAATCAATTTAACCTTGGGTTATATAAAAAAGAGTTTACGATATTTAAAATTTTGTTTATAAAGGCATGGTTATGCTGCCTCCGGGTTTTGTGGAATAAGAGATGTAAAAAATGAGACGATAAAAGAGCGAGCAACAAACATGAAAGACGGAGGTGACTCCGGCTCCAATTCCTGATTTACGTTGGCATTGTTAACATCGCCACTTTCATTCTCTCTTGCGTCCTACATTTTATATTTACCAATCAAGAGTAAAACTGTTAATTTTATAAGTTTGTAGGAAGCCAAACTTTTAATGGTACAATTATTATAGTACAACAGTGGTAATGCACATAGTAAATCATGAAGAGTATAGACAGGCATGTAGGTGCGATTAGATGTTAATACTGCAGCGTATAAGTAACTGAAAATCTTAAGTTAGGCTAAATCGCATATTTACATAATTTACCGAATTATTATCAGCTAAGTTCTGTTCACCCTCATTTCTGACATTTTCAGCATCTAAAGAAATCATTAGAACTATACATTATGGCTCAATAAAAATAATTGCAGAGCACAATTTTAGCTTACTTTCATTTTGAACCGGTCTTCTTATGGGGAGTCGTTGTATTATTAGGTATCCACTTTGGTATCTGTTATGAAAAATTATGTATGTTAGTAGGTTTAACACCTTTATTGGCTACTATTAAAAGCACTTCATGACTAACAAGTATGTAATTATCACAATCGCAAGCATAATTCCAAAAAGTAAAGGAGTAGAATGGAACCATAATACTATTAAGACCAGTCCGACGCGAAAGAAGCCATAAATATATGATAACCAATCGTTAGCCATCAAATCCTGTTCTTCATCGTCGAAAACACCCGCAGCCACATTCATTGCCACGTTATCATTCGCAGCATTATTGACGTTATTGTTATTATTATTATTACCATTATTGTTGACATTACTATTATCGTTATTAGTATCATTTGTTGGAGTTGATCTCTGTCCTTCATCAGCGACATTTTCGCCTTGGCCACCAGTATTAATTCCGTTAAAGTACCCATTAGCTGATCTAATTAACCAAAATTTATTACATGTTATGATTAATACAATATAAATGCGAGCTATACTTCATGGTATAGCAGTACTCTTGTCAAGGCAACAAATGTGAGATCAGTAACGTAAGATGTTTCTTAATTTAGATTAAATATATACATTACAGAATAATATTTCATTTCGCGAATAACTTTATATTGATTAAAAATTCTTTATAGACATTACCGAACATTTGACGGTCTATTATTTCCGACGGCGTTGTAATACATATACCAATAGTAATAGGACCAATAAGCTGAGCTAGCAGCTGCCGCGGCTGCATGAGCCACCTCGGCTGGCCTTATTACAGGTTGATTATCCACTGGCGAAGGAAATTGCCAGTTTCCTAGAGTACCGCTATTTAAAAGGAGGTAAATTAAAGTTAATGATATATTTTGAGATGAAACGTAGATATTTTCCTAACTATATTATATGGTCTTTTAATTAACCTTGCGAACGGAAATTGAGGTGGGAAATTGGTTCCTGGCATTCTGTTTCTTAGCCCATCACTTGAAGTGGTCTGGCTTTCATTCGCTGTTGTTGGCAAACTAGCGTTTGAAATGGTCTGGTTTTCATTCGCTGTTGTTGGTAAACTATCATTTGAAATGGTCTGATTCTCATTCGCTGTTGTTGGTAAACTAAGTTGACTTGGAGTTTCTGTGGGCTGTTGTTCAGTGCTAGTTTCTATTTCCTTCTGATTCTAAAAGTCAATTAATCAAATATTAGGGAATCCAATTCGCTCAATGTCTGTAGATTCCTATTGAGTTACAGTTTACAGTGACGTTAGGAGTGCTATTAACCAGTACAAAACCTATATAAGTGTATTTGTAGTGTACAGATAATAAAATCGCCGTATATTTTAGCACTGAGTATTAACTGGTAAGAATATTACATTTTTATAATCAGAGTCGCATTATAGCAGTTCTAGTTATCTAAAGGAATCGCTTCAGGTAATACGCAGGTATACTTACTTTCTTCTGGTCAGTAGTTAATAGCGTACTGCAAACCATATGGATGATTGGTTTTTCTCCAACTTTGAACTAAAGACCAAATACAATATTACGAGTATTATTAATACTAGTACCTTTATCATAAGTGCATATATACCATACAGTAGTAGATAGTAATAATAGAGAGGTTAGCATTCAAATTCTTTTTTCGATTTAATTTAAGCTATCATCAGTCTACATCGGATTATTACATCGGTATGGAGAGTATGACAATACCTGTCGCAAAGCCTGGGTGAGCGTGTCACCATCTCTGAGTAGTTTACCGCCGTATATTAACTTTTGAGTATCTGGTAGCTATAAATTGAGTAAGATAACAGCAGGCATTCGTACAGTTAATAAATACCTAGTTACCCATTATCGATATGTTACAGTGAATAATCACATTTATGACCACTAGGCAAGTAAGAATGAATAAAATATTGGAGAGTAATTTCGGTATTGAATTACTGGTCATTAGATCAGTAACTGAGTGATTCTAAATTGATAGTACCAGCATAAACTTTGACATTAATAGAATAGTAATGGCGCTCGAACTTTAGATATTTATTTAATCACTTTCTTATACGCAGTGTTCCTATGCGTACGCGCATTGTACAGTATAGTAAAGTGCAGTCAGTTTCAAGACTTGAAAAGGCTTGAATTCATTTTCACAACTCAGTTACATCCGTTAGTAGTAAATAAAATTACTAAAGTAAAGACGTCAAAATTTAGTGTCAATGCTAATGTATACATTATTTTCCATCGCTGCTCCATTACACGGTATTCAGTGAGCAGTGTTCTATTTAGCATATAGGTGTTGCTGGCTATCATTCATAACGATTGTCGATTAATTAATTCTTGTCGATACTCTGTTAGCAACTCAAGTTTTGACATCGTCCATAATAAAGATAGCCTATGTATTTTCCAGTTCGACTTCGACGATTAAGAGCATCGGATATAATAATATACTTCTAAAGGACGTGATTAAAATAAATATGACGCTATATGTTGTAAGTTATGTCTCGGCATTACATCATTTCCAAGTAATAATTATTACTTGGAATGAATCGATAATAATAATATTGTTTTCAATGGCGATATTGTCAGTATTGTAGGTTGAGTCACTTTTATTACCGGTTGAGTAGGGTAAAGCGATGATAACAGCTGTTTTAATTCTTTAACCGACCATTCCAGGTAACAATCTACTACAATATCCTTAATTTTTTGATTTGGGGTTTTAATAATTAAGGTTACAGGAGTTTGGGATTGTTGTGGACTTTGTCGTTTTCCATTCCAGATGCCGCAGCCATTCTACGTTGTGCCAAGTTGTACTGGTCCACTACAATACTAGCAAGTCGTCTCTTATGACTGTAAAAACACCCGATGGTACAGTACTGTACAGTACTGTACAGTACTGTACCACCTGTATGCTGCGTACTGTACACTGTAAGGTACAGTCTTTAGTACTGTAGTCCCTCGAACTGTTTATAAACAAAATGAGTACCAGAACGATTACGTATCCCAATGATGAGGCGCATGATGTGGCGAGTCCTGATTGGGCGTCACCGCACCAATTTCTTTAGCGATACTGTAGTCAACCAGAGTCACCATACTGTACTGTATGGTGTACAGTCCCTAACAGTGAAGAGTTGACTGAGAAATCATAAACTACTCAGTCTAGTGTACACTGTAAACCTAATCCCTATACGTACTAATCCCCTTTGACTGGAACGTGGTCTTTTTTGGGCATCACAAACACAACATGAAGACAAAGTAGGCAAGGATACAAAGTCACAGGGAATGCTATGTACTGTACACTGCATCGCTTTGATTCAGATAAAAGGAATCCGACTCGCCGATGATCCCTACACCCCAACTTTAATCAAGTATATCTATATATACATACAAAAGCAGCTTTATCCAATAGGTGGCCTGGTGGCGCAACGGTAGCGCGTCTGACTCCAGATCAGAAGGCTGCGTGTTCGAATCACGTCCGGGTCAACTTTAAATTTTTATTAGCCAAGTCCTTTTTTTTAATATTATACATTTCTTCATTCAGAGAGGGATTGCTAACTACACTATATATTTATCTTCTATTTTTATTAGTAAGTGGCCCATGATATACCAATTAACCATACTACTTTTTTATTCTAGAATCTATTGTAAATCTATCAGATAAAATAGCATGTAGTACTGTATATGAACCATGATAATGTAATGTATAACGTAACCATCACACGGATATGTTTAATGATGAACGAGGAAATTATTCTTCAAGGATATTCCATTGCTATAGAAATCAGTCAATTTCCTACGACACCCTTCTGTAATTATCTGCCTATCTAACACGGTGTAATACATAAGTTCTATTGAACGTTTAATTCGCTATGATATAATCACGATACTGGAGTAAAAGACAACGTTAAACTGTCTTAATTCAGATGATGATCCTAACAAATGACATTCCCTAAAATTTGTAGGATGTACATACATATTTCAACTAGTTGTTGAATAAACTCGTATTACTGCTACCTTTATTCTCTATCGTTATTGCTCATTGAATTCTAGAGCTATCGTAGATATATAATTATACTGTACAATAGTAACAGAATTGAAGACGAGTTTAACTTTAGTCAACTTATATCGAAACAAGACAGATTGATCTTTACTGCACGGATCAACTTTTATCACACTATAAATCTAATCAAGGCATTCTCTTCACTAGAGAATGATTAACTTATAAAATTGCATTACTATCGATAATAGAAGCAGTTACAGGGGATAGACAAGATTAGCGTACCCAATCTAGTGATCATTAATGTAGGATTGATTGACGTCATAAATTTGTTAATGCATGAACATTGTTTCACTTCTATCCCGTAGAGATGTTCTTCAAATTTGATTGTCCTCTCGCAAAAGAAATTTTAACAACGCCATTATAATGTCGGTATAAGTTTGGATACTTCAGACACAACATATTAGCTGTCATACTGACACAATGCTGTGCTTTATAAGTGTTACAATGTTGTATTTGCATTTTTCCGATAATCCACTTAATCAGTCATTAAGTAAGATACCTGTGCTAACCGACGTGCTTCAGCTTAGAAAAGTCGCTAATTGGCGCTACAAATCCTTCAGTTTTATTGATTAGGATCTTTGTAAACCGGATATACGCTACTACTTTTAGTAGAAGAGCGAATTATATGAGTGGTTAAGAAAGAGTTAGAGCGAGAGTGAGTAAGAAATAATGAGGACTATCGTAATCATTCTTATCATGCTGCTAGCTATCATGGATGTCTTCGCGCAACAGAATAAAGATACAGGAGAAAATTCTCAAACGGAAAGCGAAGACGTTCAAGATTGTAACAGGCAATTATGCGCATCAAGAGTTCTTGCCTGTCAACTAATGCATTTATGCCTATTTGATCAACAAATCATCATGAATACGACTGTTATTGACACTCCTCTTCCTACTGCAGCTACAGCTGTAGGCAGTCAAAATAAAAATTTAACAGATTGTATTGATTGTTTAAATCACTTGGCTTTTCCCTGCTGTGGATGTTTAAGCATTTGTCAGTTTATTTCTCAATCCGTTGCCAACCGAAAAGAGGTTAATCATACCATAGTCTCACTCGAAAAGCCAGTTGAAGGATTATTTAACGCATTTACATCTTTAGGAAAAGGTCCTAAAGATACCACGATCTCAGTTATCAAGACATCATCCGGTAAGCATTTTGATCACGATAAAGTATAAGCGCATTGATCAAAAGTAGAAATGATACTAGTCCATTAGGGTAGCTAAAATTAACAACTCTTGATGACATTAATTCAGTCATATTTCGATATTGCTAACATTTTTATGATGTCTGCGAGGCAGATATTTCATTAGTTAATAACTTGATGGCACTCAAAATAATAAAAAAAGGCTATAAAAAATATTTTAATTTTATAATTGTAATAAATTTCTAGATCGTATTAAAACAGTAAGAAAACATTGACCTGAGATCAATTCAGACATCATCAAACATCTTCACCTCTTTTAAACAGTTTAAAAAGATGATTTCGGCTTATGTTAAATGAAATCATTAGAAATATATCTGCATTTGATGATATTAAAAGATTAATTTATCGACTTGCCCCATCGTGCAATAATATCCTTCTAAGATGATAGGCAACAATTCTACTTAGCTATTATTGAGAAATCCATCGTTTAGAATATGGAAAGATCTTTCCTTATTAATTACTATGTGTACTACACTTTGGGTAATCTAAATATGGTTTCTTTACATCTCAGCACAGAAATAAATATGTCATGCATTCGCTAAAACGTTTACTGTGGAATTGTGTATAATGATCATGTTATTAATCCAGTCTGTTCTTTTGCCGCCACTAAAGACGTATAGGATTTTGTACTTGGACGGTAACAGTACCATACATCTATATTTAACAAAATTATACGTGATTCAGTGGCTAAAATAGTACCAATATCGATAATAATGAAAATTAAGTAGTACAGTATACCCTAAACTCGTATGACTCGATCAGTAGTTAGTCGTTAAATTATTCTATGTAGTCACCAATATACTTAATAAATTTTTCCGGATTACTGCTACAGCTAAACTAAATGCCGAGAGTAATATATAATTTACGACAGTCAATCTTACATTTTCGATTCAATCAATCATTCCTGAATTGACCAAAAAAATGCTTCAAAAGTAAAAGACCAACCACCGCGTTGCGTTATTCTACCTCTATTCCCAATATTATATTATAAAGCAATGCTATATGTATGACGTTATACACAAAACGAACGATATTGAGTCCCTTGTATAGGCTAGCTGTCTAATTAGCGTTAGTATACAGTATAACATCGTGCTAATACTTCGGATTGAATCGTGCGTTATTTTACGTAGCAAATGAAATGTATATTTGCTTCATATGTTTTCTCAAGTGAATACGACTTAATTTATAAGTTTACCTACCTTCCAAGTTCAAGCTCCATGCTAAATCATCTGATAATTTACTTGTGTATAACATACGCGTATGCGTGTGCAGTAGATATACGCTAGGTTTTAATTTCACGGACATTTTAAATTTTCAAAGATCGAAATTGATGGTGTTACTTATAGGAACGGCTCCATTAATTGCTCGGTGTTTAATTAATGTCTCACAATTAAAAATCTTCTACATAAAACTACAACAAAATTTAACTCATTCTATTAACTTTAAAATGCAAGCAAAGTTTATCTTTGCCATACTTTTAAGATATAAAGCAAAAGGAGCTATGATAAAGCACAGCAATAGGTTACGTCTATAAAAATTTTCAATATTTTGCTTAATATCAGGTTATTGTACTGTATGCACTTGCCATCAAGACTTGTAATGGCCTTCCTGATCATATTCTAATATGTTATCGTTCATCAATTTGATATAAGTTATAAATCATGACTATTATCATAGAAATTTATAGCATTGCCTTTTAGAGAGAATGTATGCCGTGGATTGTACAAATGTCTATAAAAATACTAATGTTAGGTTCATCTTTCTTTCAGTCAGCGATGATACCTGCAAAGTTATCAATATTGATACCTGCATCCCCGTTAAACATTGCAAGGAACAATGCTATAACTACGGCGCGTCCAAGCTTCGCTGGTTCGATAATGGTTGTTGTCAATGTTTTGGGACTGATTGTGCAGGAGTTGGAGAGCCAATAATGTCGTGCAAGAATTGTAAAGACTCTAGCAACCAGACTACAAAATAGCTAGATGTAGTCACTAATAACTACAATAACATAGATGATATTTCAATCCATTATTTTAAACAGCCAATACTATGCTTCTATTCCTCTTTACATGCACAAGTGATTTAGTGAAGATATATGTAGCATCCGTTCTATGTAACTGCAAAATAAATTAACGCGCTATCTCCAATTTGTAATCGTGCGAGTAAACGATCCTAAACTCATCGTTAGCAAATTTATCTTATCGGAAGCTATTAGAATTCGACTTGTATGTACAGCTGTCAACAGGTGGTAATTAAATTTCAGAGTAATGTGTTATAAACTATAAATAATTTAAATGGTACGTAATTAACCCCTATTATCGCTTCTCATTGGATCGAATTTGATTACTTGCATTAGCATGCCGACGATTACTATAATGCAAAATCACTACCCACTCTCCAGTTTCATCTTTTGTGAAATGGTAATGGTAACTAACAATTGCATCTCTTTATATATTTCTGAATTCTGGCTATATACACAAGAACTATAGTTTTCCCTATCTTTAAGAATATTTTTCTGATCATATCTCTGGTTACTTTTACAGTCTGTTTTTAATACCGATATTATGGACAAAATGTATTTCTTACATCATTGGATCTAATAAATAAAAGTTGACCAATGATATTGCGATATCTATGCAAATTCGGTACTGTTACCCCAAGAAGCTACAACTGCAAAATGTTTATTACCTTGCAACAGGAAATAATCTTATCTAACAAACACATAGCAAGAATACATTACAAGCTATATTAGGCAACTTTAAAGGAACATACGTACAGCAGGTTTCATAACTTACACAAAATATAGTACAAAATTGATAAAATGCCGTTGAATCCATTCAGGAATTGATAGGGTTTAAAACATATCGTAACATTGAAGAGGCCAATGTATTAATATATATCTAATTTAATATAAGTTAAAGTAACTAATTACATTTCAGGGTGTTACACAGACTCATGTAACGAGAAAAGTGATATCTCTTAGATAACTATCAAAAGTGTTAGAAATCTATTTCGGCTACTAAAACGCGTAACGGGTTCGCATATCCTCCAACTTCTTAGATATCTATTAATGCAATGATTATATCACAGGTCACAGACATACCTACTTTAATACAACTTGTTATTTAATTACATTGAAAATTATGCCTACCTCAGGGGGTGTCCGATCAAGCTCCATCGCTAAAGTTCGTCGCTTAGATCCATCCAAAGCATTAAATTGTTCGCACATGTCACCATCAATGACATTCTAACAGAATTTAGAGTCAATATCTTTATCGTCAAGAACAACATCTGATTGTAATTAAAGTAATATATGATAAAGAATGAATCGGAGCCTTACCTTTGCAGGGAAATAATAAGATCGGTAAGCTAAATGATCTCTACCACAAATTGGAGCATTTTCCGAGCGTAAATGCATTTCTAGATGCTGGAAAAAGTCAACCTCCTACAAAAACATTATTCGCATCAGTTCATGCCTCTCAATAGGTATGGATTGCATGGCTATAAAAACTTGTAATACCTCTCGAGAAGTAAATGGTAACAGAACACCTATACTTCCAGAAAGTGTAGTGTAAATCAAAGATTCAGATCCTCCCGGTATTATCGTAGTCTTTTGTAATGACATTACAGTTTCGCCAATGTAAAATGATGCTTCCAGATTAGCCTAAGCAGTTTATATGAAGTATTAAATGCTGCATTTAAAATTAACGTTAATACAACCAGCGTGTCAAAACAGGGCCGACATAAGATGCGTATCGCGACTGTATGTGTAACTGTCCATTACAGAGCTGACTAAGATTAAACTAACGCCTGAACAAATCATAGGTACCTGATAATACTATACTGTAGTATGATAGCATAGTAATAGAAGCTGATAATATATCACTTTAATTACAAAAATAATAAATCCAATACACAGTCTAGTAACTATTTGCGATGGCACTTCAAAGCTGCTTCCATCATCGCTGCTATTATCATGTCCTTTAAAACTGTTCCAATCACATATCGAATATAGAAATATCCTGTAATACCTTTTGCGATGCGCCATTTAGTAGCCCACGATCCCAGAATGCCTTCGCACCTGTTGGGTCTTCCTCAATCTCATCATTAATATCATCAGACAACCGCAATATAGCGATACTTCCGAATTTATCCCCAACAGCAATTGTGTCATAATCGAGGAAACATGTAGCGGTAACATATCTATTGATAAACAGAAACTTTATCCTGTGGACTCCTTAATACATAATTGAATTTTAGTTGACAATACCTAGGACTGACGTCATCAGCGAATACAACAAGGCGGTTTTCTTTCGCTCTATACTTAACAAAGTGCACTGACTCCTGAACGTCGCCAACAATAACTCGACTACCCATACTACTTATAGTCACGATTCGATACGGAAAATTCTAGTATTTTGAACCAATATAATTTTAGTTTCAATTTAAATTAAACTATAAAATTGGCTTGTAATACTATTACCACTAGACATAACTAACCTTATTTTCACACTTCCTTAATAACTTCTTTCGGCCAAGGTCATAAACTCTTAAAATTCTACCAGTACCGACAAGTAAGCGTCCCTATTCACATAAAGTCAGTTTACCATAGATAAGTAAAAATTTCATCTTACATAAAATTCAAGAAGCAATACCTGAAAAGCTGCCATGGCTCGTGGTACTTCTTCGACTACAGTCTAAAGTTGCAAACATCTTGTTAATGGCAGTTGTACTTTCGTGATTTAGGCTAAGTACTCGATTCATAGATTGTAGTGCTTTATAGGAATTACCTTGTGGACTAATTCTAACTGTCCATTAGCCATTCGGTAAGTGTTCATCAATCCTCCGGACGAGCTGCTAGGATTTAAATTAAGTTCTTTTGCAACACCTACCACGACGAAGGTTTCATCAGGCTTGTAAGCGAAGCGACAAATAGCCACACTGAAATTAAGATAATCAATCTGTCATACGCGTAATCGTTTCTGCAATATCAAATAAGGACAACGCTTATAATGTTTTCGCCCATGTCCTCATATTGTATATATATATAGTATATACCACAGCTGCTAGTTCATAGCATGTCGCATCCGTGTATTACGTGATATACGAACCTCAAAGCAGCTTCATCTTGATCAAGTTCAAGAGACTGCAAAATTGTTTTCTAACCCATTACAAATTGAGAATCAAAATAATTAGCAAAATCAAATAAGCAAATAAATTGATTTCTTAACATGTCATCCTTACCTGATCTGGTGCAAGTAATTGAATACAAGAGGCCCACTGGCCATTGCCAGCTTTAGGCTCACCAAATTCCGTAGCTGGTAAAACTTCATTCATAAATGATTCTGCAACTTCTTTAGCTAATTCCGCTTCCTCGTCACCGGCGCTCTCAATAATTTCCTAGCAGGTTATACAATAAAAAAGAGTAAATGATTTTTTAGCATATTACTTTACTATGTAAATGTAAAATTTGTACTTTTGCCATTTGCTGTTTTCTTTCGGACTTCGTGCTATCCGTAAAACATAAATGATCAGATCCAACAACAACCAAGTTGCTATTCTGCTGATCTATAGCAAATCTTCGAGGGGTTAATTTCAAGTTGATTGTCATTTGATTGAAAACAGCTCCTAGTTTTTCTAGCGCTAAAATCCTAAGTAGATAGTTAAAAAGGATTAAAATCACAAGTATCATACTATATTAGATAGAGAACCAGACAAAATGAAACATACCTTAGGGTATCTCCAGCTATCGATACGACACCCTCTGGGCACTGGTCGGATGAAAATCCAGACGCATAGTCAAGCGCGTCATAAGATAGAGGGGTTAGACGGGATACCGACTGAAACATATAACCTAACCACGACCGGCTTGAAATGGCAAGTACCTATAAAATGGAAGAAATAAATATATAGTACCTATAGCAATAATACAAAGATATGTTTTCATGAAAACGATTCAAACTCGTAAAATGAGCATTTCTTACCGCTTCAGAGTTTTGAATTTTAACTTTAAACAGTCTTACAGGTCGCGACCCCAAATACCTATCGAGTATTAGATTAAAATGTTACATTGGTAGCTATAAAACACACCAAGAACAGAAATTATGATTTATAGCTGACCTTGTGCGCGTATCCGACATGTCTCCAGTAACGCTGTCTAGAACGCTCCTAAGAAGTACACCGTTCTATCAAATAAATATAGTCATTTAGTACCGCTGTTACGCGCGAAGATGCATGTTTTTAGCAGCAACTAAATTTTGCGACTTACCTGTAAACCGATATTTAAATAATATGTTGAAAGAACGCCTTGCTCACTTTCTGAAGAGTCACCGCTTCCCATTGCTACTATGCATAAAGACTCCGGCACAGTTGGTAAAGCTTGCATACTCATAGGCTGAAGACAATCCTATTTAACAAGAAACATTAACTGATTCTTAAACCATTCGGATGGTCTTAGGGATAGCAAAAAGTAATCAAATAATGCAGCTACAACGAAAAATCTTTACATACCGAAGGATCTAACGAAATCATCCTAACTGTATGATCCGCTAATCCAACCGCCAAAAATCGACATCTTTTTTCTCCGACTGGAACCGAACCAATACTCATGCAAATAACTTCACTAGAAAATTCTCTTCTTTCGGTATATTCATTTAACTGACCAGACTATCATTAACATGAAATGGTCTCATCAACACATAACTCTTGTTCAACATTGACGAATGTATGTAAGCTATAAGTTTAACGTTAACGGAAAAATAATCACGAAATCGCCAATTTATATCTTATTACCAAATCCATCTCAAAGTAAACCAGTTCCCCGCCAGTTAAAGCAATTGCGACCTACAGTACGTGTGCAATAGTAAATTTAATCAATGTATTGTAATTAAATTTAATGCAGGAACCATCAAAGTATCTTAGTTTGAAGGATATCTTTATAGCATACCTGACGATTATTCACGGCACACTTTGATATTATTTTCTTTCCAGGGGCCTTCCATTCATTTACACGTTTGTCAGCTCTTACATGACGAATGCCATTGGCATAAACCTTGGTAACATAGATACACATTCAGTATCCAAGTATTAGGGATAATATCAAGGAATACGACATAACCTACTTGTAATAAAGCATCATCTCCAATTTGGCAGCAATGTAACGTTGGTGTCGTTCCTAAAAATCCGCTATCAGAGACTTCCTCTACACTTTCGCCAATAGACAGTACTAAGGTAGCATTTACAAAAGAAACTACAATATAGGCGTCGTATTCCGCTAAAGTAAGTGGAGATAATAAGAAAAAGAAGTTGAACAAGCTTGCTATAGAGTATAATAATAATAAACTTTAGAAAAAAATAAACGTCCTATTACCGGAAGCACTTGTTTTCACTGTCCATACACCATTAGGATTACCGGGAAGCTCAGAAACAGCCATTTCGGTTACCTATCGAATTTATGGAAGGATTTGGAATTTGTAGGGCATGAGAGATATTTTAACAAAGTAGTGACTACTAGATAAAAATTTAACCTCCAATCCATGCCGCAAAATCCTTAAAGTCGAGTTTGGACCTCTGCCACAGGATACATACAGTTGTGGGGTATCTTCATTAGCTAAATCAGCAACCTTTCAAAAAATCGTAGTATTGATATTAAACATAGAAGATTTAATTGGTATTAAATTAAAAGAAATCTATGCTGGATTATTAAATCAAATTTTCAGTTCGTGTGCATTTACCTGGCACCCAGTTATAGGGCAAAGACTATCAACTTCATCAACTTCAACCAAGTTCTTAAGTGGTCGCAAAGAATAGTAAAATGTTTCACCTTCGTCAAGAAGCATAGTACTAGAGAATTCTGTTTCCTCATCGTTATCTCCAAGATGAGCAATTTGATATAAATGGCTACAAAAAGATCAGACGGAAGAAATGCATCTGTTACGGTTGTGAGCACATCTAAATCGAAAGTTTAAACTGAAACACCTACTGATTGCCGAATTCCGATGAAGCAAATAAGAAACCAGTTTTAAGAACAATCATCGATGACGCAACAGGTATAGTGTCAAAATATTTTAGTTTAATAGATGATACCTGGAATAAAAATCGTAATGTTTTATTTAGTATTTAAATCACCACGAAAAACGGTTACGTTGCTATCAGTGTAAGCATTATACTAACCATATCATCTTCAACCGTCAAAGTAAGTTTAAAAATATCGCCTTGCTCATTTTGAATGAAGAAAAAAAATAGAGACTGCAAAAAATCAAGATTATAAAATTTATGACCATGACAATACCGAATTAATCAGAACTCTTCACAGTAGTGGAATAGCTACAGAACAATTCAAATCAAAGAGGGTTTCTTAATGGTATAACTCTCCTTCAAGTATTCCTTAGCTAATTAGTCTATATTACCTTTGTCTTATGACCGGCATAACAAACAAATAGTATACCACGATCAGGGTCGGATAAGTCGTACTAAAATTAAGTGCCAAAGTATTATTATATTGAATATTATATAAATTTACAGGTAACGTTAAACGAGCCACCAACAGCAAAAAGAAATGCAAATTTTACCCTGCGGCGGGGAATTGGCATCCGAATATCAGGTTGATCACCAAAATTCTTATAAGTAATAAAATTTTCTGAACAAACTAAAATACCACTTGGTCCGTCATTACCCCCAGGTACTGTTAGGAGAATAACATCAATTACAATTTATTCTGTGCACCTTATCAAAGCTTAGTATCAGTTCGTAATATGTAAACTACTATCAAGCGCAGTCAGAAATATTCGAAGAATAATTTAAACATTAATGACGCTAGCATTTCCTTTTACCTGGAATCAGCATATTGCTAAAATCTTGTAATGTCTCCGTGAATTTTCGAACAACATGATTTAAACCAAGATCCAATTCGTAATATGTAAGCATCTGTAAATATATGCTACACTTAGCAACTTCTATAGTGTAATAATTCCATTACAAAGTCATTGATTAACCTGTCTGGTTGTCAAAGCAGCCTCTCCTGTTGGATCATTATCAGCCTCCTACGAAAAATGATTACATTCATTATGATGAAGCTTTAAAATTTGAGAAGAAATGAAATGGTCAATAAGTTCTATTGAACTTATTAAATTTTTTTTAAACCGTACCTCGTAGTCGACTTCAAGACAAGCAAACACCGGATTTTCAAATCCAACGTCAATACCGACAACACTAAATACTACAGTATGAGATTTATGAGCTTCAAGCGGCGACGAAATGGTTAATCGGGCAGATGTATCACGGTTTAAAATGTAAACAAGTTTTTGCTTCTCCATTGCACCTAAAGTGATAAAATTGGAATGATCAAAAAATTGAGAAGGAGTAATTTGGATTTTCTAAGTGCGAAAGTAGTACTGTATATTCACAACTAAAATAATAATCAGTTCTATACTGAATATAATCTAAGTTTAATACGAGGTTCCACAAGCTAACGATACTATACTTTATTCTTACCTATCATTACGGCTCTTCCTTTTGGATCGACTGCTAGATATTGACCAGGAACAATTCGTCTACAACCACTTTTACCAAATGTCTCTTGATGAATCTATAGTTAGGTGATTCATCAACAATCATCTTAAGCATTATATTTTAAGTCTTTTAGCTAGTCTATAGATAATACCATTTATTATCAATTACCTTTTCGAAAGTGTTCTTAGATGGAATATACTCTAAGATAGTAATACGGCCAGAATCGCTACCAATCACCACATAATCTAAAAGCAGGATTTGATCGTAATTAAAAATATATGTAACATTTAAAGTAACAGTACTACTAGCGTTAGCTTAAGTATTTCAGGTGTGAGTTATTAAAGTAAAATTTAAAAATTTCTTAGGAAGGTAAAACACACAAGCATTTAACTTAATCAAACAAGACATCTGACCTTTGCTTCCACCAGTTAAGCGAAAAGGAGCAAGACAACGAATTTCTCCAAATACTTCTAATGTCGTTATCGAGTGAACTTTACCGCTATTTGCATCTGGCCGAAGTAATTCCAACACTTTACCTTTCGCTGCAATAATTTCTTGTTGTTTGGTACCAGAAAAATTACCGTGAACAGCACATGTTATACATGATGATTTTTGCAAAGTTAGACTGTATAGGTACATCTAAATTCGGGGTATAAAGAAAAATTGATAAAAGTTATCATTCGTAATCCTTTTATTAATCTACTGTCATAAATTGTAAAGAGTGTGATAGTGATATTTGAAATTATTGGTATTTCATGATTAGGATTTAACGTTGTACATTACTGTGCAAATAGTATTGCTCTAACAGCGAAATAAAATATGGCACTTTATCACCATGCACAAAGGCGCATAAGATGTAGGAATTGTTGCTACGGCATCGCTGATATAGCACTTGGATTCAAGCCAGTAGTTACCTCGCAGTCAACGCGTTGATGGAATAATATGCAGTTTTACACAATATAGGCTAATTTTATGTGTTACAGCTGTAGATATTATCCAAAGGGGAATCTCTCAATATTTATAGCGTTTAATATTCTGCAAGATGTATTGCTGCTTTACTTACAGTTGGTAGACAATTATAATCATTGGAATAACTGAGTACAGAGTATATAGCATAAACAATATTCTTCAAGACGATGTTGAGGAGACATAATAAATCCCACCACCTACTACAATTTAACCAAAACATTTAACTCATAAACACGATTTTGGCGGATATTGTGTCTGCATATTACGTAGTTTATTCTACAATTTGTGTCGCTTTGTATTCATCTGTTCCATCGTTCTTGAGTATCTCAAATGCCAAAATATTTAACTCATAAACACGATTTTGGCGGATATTGTATCTGCATATTACGTAGTTTATTCTATAATTTGCGTCGCTTTGTATTCATCTATTTCATCGTTCTTGAGTATCTCAAATGGCTAAAGATTACTGACTATAAATATCATTTATCACCCATAAAGATACGTAAACGTGTGCAAGTAGTTTGAGTTGTTACAAGTATGAACGCGTATTCGCAACTTGGCTAGCTTTACCTCGTATATCTAAAATACACAAATCGCAATCATTATGTGAGATATTCAGGCCAACGAAGTAAACGGCAAACAAATGAACGACATTCATTATCTAAATTGGATGACTGTGATCTAATGACCCATTTTATGCATTGAACGCACAGCAAAAGTTATTCTAAGAATACGCAGGAATCGCGCTGGCTATCTATTGAAAGATGACCAATTTTCCCAATATCCTAGTAGTGAAGTATCTCTACTATACTCAATTTCAACATGAAAAGATGCTCGAAAAATACCAATTAACCACAAAATTTTACTAAGTAATCTATTCGACTTTTGCAGTACTAAATGATCCGATTAGGTTCTACCTATGACGAGAATACGTTTCGGTGGCTGTAGTTTGTTTGGACCAATGGATGATATCTTGTCAGGAAATGGCCTCGTTGATCAAACTATTTAACTACTCTACACATCTCATTCACAGTCAATGTATGTTACTGTCTATTCTGTAATTATTAGCGCGACAACAGGGGCTATCATCCGTATTCCATTTGCTCAAGAAAAGTTCAACTTTGAATAATGGTCATTGTCGAATCATCTCAATGATTTACTGTTCATCTCTCCAATGACGACTCCATTGCAAGCTAGTACTAGCTGTCAATACATTGAATCCAATAAATAATTACATCCATAGCCGATATATTACCTTTTCTAATCTTCACTTTACAAAAATAGCCAAGATGAGCAATTTCAATGACTGGATGAGCAGCGATTCGGAATAGGATTATTTAGGCTATTCTGAGGTAGCTGCGACGAATTCGACACGGGCTGACGCTTGACAATTGATCAACCGTTTTGGCTTGAGTCGCGCATGATTTGACTGCGTCGGTAGTCAACTGGTACTGGTACTGGTACTCGTATGCGGCTTATCGAAGCCACTTTGCTACTGTACTGTATACTGTAGACTACAGTACAGTACTGTACTGTACACCGGTAAAGGCAACTTGTGGGGTTTCGACTGGAGATTTTGCATTTGGTACGATACTGTATCAAAGACTACTCAACGATTTATACTTTTCCTTTATAATTTGAACAAGTCCGACGGTAGAATACAATCTACACAGACCGTTGCAGATATCAGGTCAAATCGTGTATTTTTTAATTTTCGCGGATAAATCAGGTCCATCGTGTCATCCGTAGCGATGTCTGTCAGTCTGTCGAGAATGACGTTCATGTAGTAAACACACGAACCAAGTCTTGACGAAACACTGTGGTAGTAAACAGGCTTTCATCAATATTGGTGCCTATCCAAGTTAAATTAGAGCTCTTGAAAGAAATTGAAAGGTGCAAAACTCGGTGAAACCAGTGAGTTATTATACGAAAGTAATATGCAATGAAAAAAAATCTCTAGTACTGTACTTCCAATGAAATAAATCAATTTAAGAAACTAAGCAAGCACACAATATCATCTCCAATTGTTGGTGCCAATGCAGAAGTGAAAAGAGAAACACAGTACCTTACAATACTGTTTTAAGTGGGCTACTAAAAAATTAGTAATGACCAACGTATTGAACTTGCGACAAATAAGCAATCTATTATAGGTCTCCCTACAGAAAATCCGCACACAATCAATATCTATTTAATTAATGTGATGCAGTTATTGCGTTCTGTAGCGGCCAAGTATGTAAATAGCGTATCGATATATCTTATGATATAGGGAGCCACTAAATGGTTAATGCAGGAAAGCAATCATTAACACGATATTGGATGATCTTCACCGTATGGACACCTGCATTATGTTTCGTACGTAGGTATATCAGATCAATAAAGTAAGTATTGACGATAAAAATGTCTGATTAATCATATTTTACAGTATCTTTGACTGAATGAGCTAGCAATAGGAAAGACTTTATTAAACGTAAGGAAGTGTTTGCAATTAAAATATGAATTAACGACAGTTTTTGGCAAAGTACAAATTTAATTAGTAAGTTCATTTATAACAAATTATATGGTCTATTCGTATTATAATATCTTCCTTCGTAACATAATGTTTTTAAAGCTTATATAACTTGGTTATGCATTTCTTACTGGATGTACTACAAATAATGATGCAATTGTTAACTACGCAAACTACCCTACTACTTTATATATACATAAAGCAGGTCATTCATTAATTTTGCTAAGGCTATCGCCCAATATGCGGTAAATGCAGCAAAGGTTGAACAATATTACCGTATGATGATAATAATGTAATCGGATAGTTATACAGATTCTCCAAGGTACGATTTCCTGTTATTACTATCCGAAAACCAGCGTAAAGAGCAGAGCAGTACAATCTACAATTTACTGAATACAGGTCGCGCCTTTGTCTGAAAAGACTTAAAAATTTTCCCCATGTCTTCCGATTGTAACATACACATGTTCCACGCTGCCTATTTTCAACAGGAATGCATTAGATAAATAATTAATCAGCTGAAAAATTTCAAATCAGCCAAGCGTGTAGGTGTATCTCCTTACAATGTGCTCTAAACCTTCATCTACTGTGTGATCCCGAGAATAGTTAAGGCTAACTTTCGAGGATAGAACAGCTATTGGACTTTTAGCGGCAATCAATGAAGCCATCTTTAACGCTGCTTGGAGGACCGTATTATTATCGGCATGCACATTGCTACAGTTATTATGTATAAAAGAAAAAAATCATTAATATACAACCAACGAGCAAGTCCCTTCATTTATCGGCATGAAGCTGGCTACTCATTAAAACAAGCACCTAAAGCATTATTATTTACCGTATTATATGCCATTACTTATGGGTAACACTAAGATAAGATTACAATTTTATACAATACGGGGATAAAGCGTTCTACCTAACAAGGCCGATATCCTTTGCTTCATCAGATGAAAAATTTCGAGCCGTAAACGCTAATTCTCGAACTATACTGCAGTATTTAATTGACAATACAAAATTAATCACATCGCACATAAAAAATTCACCGACATTTAAAATTGCAAACATAACTTACCTATTGTTTCCGATAATTTTGGGGAGGCGTTGTAAAGTTCCTACATCGGCCGCAAGCCCAACATCGACTTCCTGTTATAGGAATATGCACAAGTAAATACGTGCATTGAAGTATAAGAGCATTCATTAATCATTTCGGTTATATTGTAATTTTTTTGTATCCTGCATAGAACTACGATAAATCTAGGTAACGTCTGAAAGATTATAGAACTTATGCTTTAGAACTGTTACACGCGTACAAATAAATCTATTGACTGTAAATAATAATAATCGATATAGTCTACGGGAATTATCAATCTTACCTTAACAGAGAAATAAGTATCTTTACTACAAAGTCGGATATCGCAACTAGAAATTAAATCAATCCCTATAAAGTGAAGATAAGTAGAGCCGCGTTTATTAAACCCTGAGCAATAAATATTATTAAGCATGGAAATGACTAGATTTAGTGCATAATTATCCTTATTTTGCAAGAGGTAGCTAAACAAACTCATATCTCCGTCTTACCAGCGCCAACACAGGCACCATGTACTGCAGCAATTATAGGTTTTGGACACTGTTGCAATGTTATTTACAATCAAAACCGTCAAAGGCAATAAGATCATTCAAGCATAATAAAACTCTTTTGGTCTAGTGCAATTGAGCTCTCTTAATATTAAGTACTCTGACACCCACATGAAACGTATCATACTAGCATATATTCTTATATGGTGCATGTTAAAACGCTTAGATTATAGTATTGAAGTGGTACCTTCTCCATAGCCGTAAAAACATCTTGAAAATCCTTGATATTCTGATGAAGTCTTAAACCCATCCTAGCAGCATCAAGGTTACGATCAGGCAAGACGTTAAGATCGGCAAGGTCAATACCTGCAAGATTAATTAGTGCAATGGTCAATTTAATATTCTATTCACAACTTCTATCGATCCACTATTATAGCATATAGTTACTGGGCATAAGAAATTTAATACATATTCGGTTTTACCAGTATTATTACTGTGCAATACTTAATTGTATATGACTACATGTAGTACCTGAAGTAAACATTTTGCCCGCTCCTGAAATTACGACTGCTCTGCAATTAGGATCAGTAGCTAATTGGTCAAAGCAGCTTTTCAAGTCCCTAAAGAGAAAAAATGACATTAAACCGTACCGCTGTATAGGATTGATTAAATTAGTCGTGGATTTCATATATGGTATAATCTAAAGCATATCAAAGTACGTATCATAGATCATGTACCGTCTCAACTGTCTGTTTACAGCATTCCGTTTCTGTGGTCTGTTTAACTGCACATGGAAGACAAACTCAGATGGCTGATTTACACGTAGAGTATCAAAACTGTAAGATTGTGCCATGTCTTTAAAGTTGATTATTGTAATAAATGAAAATGTTCTGATTAATCAGTGTAGCGGAGGAGATCTGAAATAGAAAAAAAGAGCATACGCTTATCTTACTATCCGCACATAACTATACATAACATTGATAGGTGACAGTCTCATGTGAGGACAATCGTAATGGAAGAATACTCGCATATAAGCATAGAGTCCTATTTTACGGACATCTAGCAGATGGTTACGAAAACGAATGTTCGTTATTAACTTCAGTACTATCTTAAAGACAGTATGAGTTCTTTTAATTTAAGAAATTTTACAGTTTTCAAGTACTCTACAGTAAGTGTATCTGGTGGCAATCTAATGCAGTCTTAATATGTAGAGACGTATTCGATGGCATATACTCGTATTCTGTATAATTGCATGAAGTAGGATATGGGAATAGTGAATTATGTCTATGCAGCGAATGAGCTAGCACGCACTCGCTACAGGTTATCTTGCTTTTACGTGTACTGTATTGCAATGATTGCAAACGAAGGCTCATCGTGCGTAACTCGTTGTAGCTGGTGTCTCATAGGCGTCCTTCAATTAAGTTTTCATCAGCAGAAGCAGGCGTAAATTACGCGTAATAAATTCCTTTCTGCTTCCCAAACTTGATTGCACTGGCAAGTAGAGCACTGTCCAAGTACAGTATTTTTAATTTATTATTGCAGTCCACTGCAGTATCCTGTATGACCATGATCGCATAACAGGAAAAGATTAATCTTATCTGCATTTACCTCTGTTATTATTTGAGTAAGTCTGCCTTGAATTGAATTCATTAATTGAACTCCTACCGCGATAGCACGATTCGGAAATGGATATTCGCTTGAGCCAAAGATGAAATAGAGAGAAATTGTTTTTGCAGCTTAACTCTATCCTCATACGTAAGTTTCCTACTGTACCGTATTTCGGATCCACCCTTGACTCCGAAGTCCGTGGAGGTCATGGGAAGTTTACCTACAGTACAGTGTATAGTGTACAGTACTGTACAGTACTGTAGCTTCTAGAAGTTCCCGACGAATTCAAGTTTGCTGGATGGCAGTACAGTACAGTCCTGGATGTCGTCTGTAAGTAACTGCGCACTCTCATTCCGTTCCGTACTCAGTACCGCTGTATTGTACTGTACAGTACAGTACTCGACGCAAATTCCTACAATTACAGTACATGTACTGTACTGTACACTATGCTACGAGCCTGTAATCAGTAATACAGCACAGTACAGTACAGTACTATTACTGTACTGTATGTCCAGTCCAGTACGGTACTGTGACCGGGCAAACGTTTTCGATCTCAGCATTTATTCTCATATATTATTATTATTATCGATAGTTCAATCGGTTGAAAAGGTGTAAAGGGAAATTCATGGCTTCAATAAAGCGACGTACTAAAAGCATGGGTAAATTAGACTACCATAGTGGACTACTAGCTCAAGTCGAGAATTTAGAGGGTGATGTATTAAATTTACAGCAAGCATTAACTTCTTATTCGCAAATATTAACAAAGATGAGCAACGCTGGACTACTCCTAGCCGAAGCTTTTACGTCAGTTTTTAAAGAAACACCATTATGGGAAGCTACTTTTAAACATACCAACACAATGAATGAAATTAAAGAAGTCGTTGACAAATGTGTTGTCAGACTATCACAAAATGTTGTTGCTACAGTAGATCAATTTAATTCCCTTTTCCCAACAGCTAAGAAAGCAATTGATGCACATAAAAAGAGCTTTGAAACGTATGAAAATTATCGTGAAAAATTACAGAAATGCGAAAATAGTGGTGATGGATCCAATCGATATCAAATGACCCAAGTGAAACTACAGTCAGCCTCCAAGGAATTTGCTATGGAAGATAATAAATTGGCTAGCATTATGAGTAGTATGCTAGAATACCGTGTTCAAGTTAGAATAACATTAACTTCTTCAATTATTTGATGCGATTATAGATGACCAACTAATTCATTGTATTGATTGCCATTCATATCGCTTTTATGTTGATTGATCCCCGATAGAAACTTGGAGCAGCTTTCCTCTCATTAATCGATATCGAGTCAAAAGCATTTCAGACTACTGCCAAAGCCCACAAAGCGTTAGATAATCATGATTCGGTTGGGGAAATTATTAGAAGTAGCGTTCTATCAACTGCTGTAAAAGATGCTACCAAGGAATGGTTTAACGTCATTAAGGTGAAATCAGCCTCTCATCGTCTTTAAAATTTTTATCGTAGGACCAGTTCAATATTGCGATATCACTAGCTATCTACTTTCTCACGACTAGTTGCTATACTGTACGCAATATAGTAAAATAGTAGCAAGAGTAATCTCACATTATAATAAAGAGTATTTTTAAAATGTATATTGTAGCTAACTAGCAACTTGCGCAACGGATATGGATTAAACATCAACGATCTGGAGTACTTATCCGGAGGATTAAGCGGAGGAGAATTAACTGCGGAGAAGAGCGAGGAATTGAGTCAAAAATTAGATAACTTACTCAAGGTATATTGAAATATAATACTATTATTACAACGCGTACATGGATAGATGTTACTGTTATTATTTCGTGAATAAATAATTGCAAATACATGTCTTACTGCATGTTGTACGTTGAGGATAAAGGACAACATTCTAACAATAGTCAGACTTACAATCAATTTTAACAACTATTCGCAGCTATATCGACAAAGACTTGACTCTTTTAACGATAACTATGAAGTTGTAGCAGCTTTCCATTTAAACCCTGATGGATTACGTGATGCTCTTAAGGTTGTATGTGATTGAATATTACAATTGTGTCGAACAATCTTTTCAAAGGTAGCACATTATATTGAAAGTCGTTTCTTTGATTTTGAATAGGATTGTTGTAGCTCCTATGAGGCCCGGAAACCTTGTGAATATAGCAGTACCATGACAATACAAGATGTCATGGAGCAAATCAACCGTGATATACCTCAGATTGCTATAAAAATAGGTTTGCACTTACTTGGAGTAATGTACTTTATGACCGAATTATTGCTGTTTTGTGCAACCATAAAAATATTAATCTTTTTTATCTTACATATATATATATATGTTATATATATACATAGCTTTACTGCAAGACATCATTACTATCATTATTTAGAACTAGTCGAATTTGCACTAGCTATTCACAGTGTATGATCATACTTATATGTAGGTGAGAAACTTTCTACTAGCGAGAATTACAGAGCCGATACTGATAATGTGCAAGAAAATGTTGATACTAAATTGGTTTGTATTTTACATTCGTACACGTTAACATCTTTTACCAATATTTCCTAAGATTGTAAATATATAACTATAAAAGTAAGAGTGGGAGTACTAGACTCTATTTTTATTTATATAGAAAGCCGTAATGAAATTGATATCGGCCACAACCTATCATAACCGATTACATATATCAGCTGATCTACAAAAGGATCTTGCTATCAGCGTATTGCATCAGATTTCTCGCTCCGTCGCTAATTATTCGTCTAAAATTGCTGTCCAACTAGTTTTTGGGAAGTCTAATCTGGTATGTTTCTTGCCTTTCTACACGCAGACTACATTAATAACTGGATCACCATAAAAATTATCCCAGTCTTTCATATGATATCAGTAATCTATATTTTCTTGTATTGCACTTATATGAGCATAAAATTCTCCTAATAAGGTTATGGTCAAGCAGAGTAGTGATTCTAAAGATACTCATCCAGCTCAGATAATGGCGAACGGGGATAACCTCATTGTTGCTGTTCCTTCATCATGGTATAATTTCACAATTGTATTGTTATCAGTCTGTAAAAATATTTAACACTGTCAATCGCTTAAATACGATATGCCTTACTTGATTGGAACACTAGGTGGCTTGTTGAAGATTCTGCTACGTTTGGCCTTTTATGTCGTGATATAGACCCTTGTGATCACTTTGGTGTGGTAGATGCAACGTACATTGCTTTTTTCAATATCAAAGATTTTATTGCCGGCCGGTAAGCTAAAATATAGATTATGCATAAAATATATACTATTGTTATGAGTCATAATTTCTGTACTTTGACTGGTAAAGTCTTACCGGGTCTAACTGATATCTTTATATATTCCACTAGGTCTCAACAGCTACCGTATGTCACTCTTCAAAAACGATTGGAATCTCCACCCTCAATGATAACACCGACGCACTACAAATCTGATAAGCAAAAGCGTAAACCTTTTAAGCTTTTCTCTAGTAAAAAATCTAAAAGTAAAGGTAGCGGTATGTTAAAAACATCGAGAGATCCTTTGCCAACGATCGAATCTCCTACAATTCTGGAGAGTGATGCCTTTGCAGCCGCAATGGAAGATGATCAAGCCAAAAGAAATTCTTTCCCTAATAATCGAACGCAATGGAATAGGGATGAATCATACCAACCAGGTATTGTACTCTTTTAATTTCATCCATTCATATTGCAGATCAAGATATCGTCTTTATGGCAATACGAAGTGATCCATTAAGGGTTAAGTTTATAATATTTTGACTCCTGTAACTTTCAATTGAAAGGTCGAAGAAGTCACTCGATTCACGGTTCGCCTAACACTTGGAAATCAAAGCCAGAAATTAATTCATCTAAGGATAATTCATTAAGTTTTCAATCAAGTAATAATATCATGCCTTTAGAATCGATCAGTGACGGAGACGACTATGATGCTTATGGACCTGATCATGAATACGTGGTGTGTGTAATAATTAGTTAACTTGAGAGACATGTGAATTGTAAATATAGATATTTCTTACACTAGACGATTATTCTGATTTAAAGTAAATTATGAATTTTTCTTTTCAACGTACATAGGCTACAGAAGAGGTAGAAGACGTTCCTGGTGGATGGTTTGAAGCCACTTCCTTTATTGATATCCCTACTGCCGATGAAATGGAAAATAGTAAGTCAAAATTTAACCCAGCGATATCAAAGATTCTTTGTAACTTGTAATCATTACGCGATAAAATTTATTAAAGTATTTCTTATCTAGTGAACCCAGAAGGTATTGCATCAAACCTTCCATCAGACTCAGACATACAAAATGTAATCGCATTTCTTTCTAGAAGAGAAAATGATGAACGTACAAGGCATGTTCGCACAGGTACTTTTATCAATAAATTAAATTTCAAAAATTTTTGAATCAAGGTTCACACTTTTATCTTAATTAAGTATTTTTTAGTTCATAGTAATCAATCTGCGTGGGGTAATCGACATTACGAAATAGCGAGGAATGTAGATCACCGTGATATAAATTATCGTAAATACGCTCATGGAGGAAATTATGGCATCATTGGCTCAGGCTTAAGTGAAAGTATAGGTATAAACGTATATTGTTGGCTTTGCTATCTACGATACTTATAACTACATAACCCGTATTGTACTTATTTTTAGGAAGTAACATCAGTGGTAGTCAATACAGTAATTATTCTGGAAGTTCGTTATCGTTAGCAAGTGGTGGCGATTACTATAGGAATCGGGATTATAGACATTCACCGAATGGAACGCAATGTAATAGTAATAGCAGCAGCAGCGAAAGTATATTTTCACTCGGTAAAGGCGTAGCTGGTCCAGAATTATTTGCAGTTGCTACTAGGTACCGTGATTGAAGGCTACTTTAGAAATGATTTTTCATGGCTTTAAAAATTACACTCCAATAAGTCTTGTTTTCTTACAATCACATTATTTCATTTTCAGCGCGGCAGATGAAGCTAGATATAAAAATTATGTCAGTATGGAAGATATTCGTAGAGGCGTAAGTTTTATGTAGATTTTATATTACAGCAATTAAATATGTTATCTAAGTTTTGACCAACCTCTTCAATGTGTGTGCACATACGGATGGTAGCGAAATTTTATTTAACGGGTCGTAATTATAATATTCATCTCTACGCAATCTTATACTGATAACTCGATTTCGAATAATTACGACTTGAAAGGATTACGGGAGAATGTGGCCCATATATCCATGTTGGGAAAGAAGTACGTCAGTTTGCAGTAGTGGTCACTACAGAGAGACTTTTAGTGGTATGTCAC